GCTGGTTCGCGTAGGCCCCAATGAACTCCTTACTGATGACCCAGAAGTCTTACGCCGTGCGAACGCTGTGCGTAGCGACTATGGCAAAGACGGCTGGTATATCTCCGCCCGCTTCAACCCTTACCAAGATACGATGATCACCGTGTTGGACAAGACGCTTCATGATAAGATGAAGGCCAAGACAGCCGCTGGCTACGCGGGACGTGAGATTGATCTTTTGGAACCGAGCGTAGACGAGCAGATCACCAGTCTCATCACTCTCCTCAAAACGAGCTATGCAGACACCAACGTGTTGGTCGACATGGCTGAGTTGTCAGTCTTTTTGACCATGGACGTCATTACAAGCGCATCATTCGGAAAGCCTTTTGGCCATCTAAACGCGAACTCCGATGTCTTTGGCTTTATTGAAGATGTGAGGAAGAATTGGCCGGTAATCGCGCTTATGTTGGACGCTCCTATTCTTCGCAGCGTCATGTTCTCCAAGTGGTTCCTCAGTTTCAGTGGTCCGCGACCGACCGATAAGCGCGGGCTGGGCCAAATGATGGGGTGAGGTTATACCCAGTCTCGCATGATGCCGGTCTCATTAACAAAATATCCACAGAATTGCTGAGAAGCATGTCGGCGAAAGATTCAAAACCGGTTCAGAGCAACAGCGGGACATGTTGGTATGTGGTGTATGAGCAAGCCATCGCTACCGCTTTTACTAATACACAACAGGGATCTTGGATCAAGAACGGCATGAGTAGGGAAGAGTGCGAGGCAGAGGGTCTCTTTGCGTTGGTTGCTGGATCCGACACTACTGCATCTGTGATTAGAATCACACTGCTGCACTTGATGAGCAACGCCAGAGTTTATTCAAAGTTCAAAGACGTAATTGAGCAAGCAGTAAAGGCTGATGTATCGACCCCTATCACGTACGACGAGGGCACCAAGATTCCTTACTTGAGGGTATGTGCCTCCTCTATCTGTCAATCTTCGCCTCACATCTAACATATATCTCCAAATAATAGGCTTTGATCTACGAAGGAATTCGCATCCGAGCTCCCGCCACTGGACTTTATCCGAAGACGGTTCCTCCCCAGGGCGAAACCATTCACGGCGTATTTGTTCCTGGAGGCACCGCTATCTGTATGAATGCGCCTGCGATGCTTAAGTCTCGCGCTATGTTTGGTGCAGATGCAGACCTGTTCCGGCCCGAGCGCTTTCTAGAGGTTGATGATGCCACCAGAGCTAGCCTGGAGCGTGAGGTGGAAATGGCATTCGGCTATGGGCGTTACATGTGCGCCGGAAAGCCTGTCGCTTTCATGGAGCTGTTCAAGACCTTTTTTGAGGTGAGCTACAACTTGCAAGATCTGGTTAACTAGAACGCTGCAGGAATACTAACTCCATCGTTTAGTTGATGCGCAACTTCGACTTTGAGCTTGCGAACCCTGTCAAGCCGTGGGACTCGTACAGCTACAACGTTTTCGTGGAAGAGAACATGTGGGTTAAGGTCACTTCAGCCAAGGTCGAGTGAGGTCTGGCATTCGAATTGAATTCTCAGCTCCATCACAACATTGGTACATATCATATCACACATTATTAGCAACTTCCAATGACTAGAAAGGGACTATCACAAATGAACTTGGAGAATTCCAAGATAAGGACGTCATGCGTTTATTTCATTTGTGTTGACGTCATGCTGTAGTACATAATGATCCGATTTTAGTGTTTGTCAACCCATTCGGAGTTACTACATTGGCAATTACCCCATGGAGGCAATCAAGACAACATTTGTGGACAGGTATTGCTGCTGAACTACACTACAGCACAGGGCACATAGCCAATCATGTTAAAACGAAGCAAATAAATCCCACCTGAAGCCGACGGGATGACGATTGTCAGATTGTCGTGATAGGGTGAATCGAAATTTGACTCTCAGTATGACGTTAAATCAAACCGCCTGGGGCATGGCTTGACAAATCTCTGTTTGCTGCTTCTTTTAGCGGAAGCCGTGGAATGCGCGGTCTAAGACGGGCTGGTCTTCGCTGCGACTAGTACGTCGTCCACCCATTGCGCGGTACGCGGAATTCATATCCCGAGCTACCTTTGTCAGCTATAACGTAGTTCGTTTGAGAAGCATCGTCTATAAATGTCAGGAGGAACGTTTTAAATACTTCTCATCAACTTATATTATCAATTCACATCAGGACGGATCCCTTCGAAACACAAGTATGGCGCATGCACTCATTCTTGGAGCCTCCGGCATTTCTGGCTGGTCTCTCATGAACCAAGCTCGGACCTATCCTACACCTACAACGTTCAACCGCATCACCGGAACGACGAACCGTCCTCTCAGCCTACAACAGGCGCAGTTGCCGGAGGATACGCGTCTTTCAATTGTCTCCGGGGTCGATCTTACGAAGTCGGTACAGGAAGTTGCCGAATCTCTGAAAGAAAAGATTCAAGACATCGACAGTGTCTCCCACGTGTTTTTCACAGGTTAGTCGTGATGTCTTGGAAGCCATATGATTTTAAGTGCAGAGGTTAACATTAATGCAGCGTACATTCAGACGGCCGACTTCCAAAGTTTGAAAGAAAAGAATACGAGTCTCTTGGAAACCGCTGTAAGAGCCATTGAGCGAGTCTCATCCAAGTTGCAGGCTTTTATTCTTCAAACAGGAGGAAAGGGGTGAGTTTTCCAGTATCTGTTGCTTTAGGCCATGTTGCTCAGTTTCGCCATGAACAGCTACGGCCTTGAGTTTTCTAAGGAACTTGAGATCAAAGCCCCACTGCGTGAGGACTATTCCCGAATCCCCGAACCATGGGCAAGCAACATCTTCTACTACACGCAATACGACACGCTCAAATCACTCTCCGAGGGAAAGCCTTGGACCTTCACTGAGATCCGGCCCGATGGCATCGTGGGCTTCACCCCTACCCCGAACCCAATGAACATGGCTCAAGGTATCGGCCTCTACCTGAGCATTTACCGAGCAGTCAAAGGCGTAGGCGCGAGTGTCCCCTTTCCGGGTTACGAGCACGGGTACCATTCAACACACTCCGATACCTTCCAGGATATCCTTTCGAAGATGGAGATCTACGCAGCTCTGAACCCGGAGAAGTGTGGGAACGGCGCCGTGTTCAATATGGCAGACGGCAAGACGGTATCATGGTCTCAGGTCTGGCCTGGACTTTGCGCCCACTTCGGACTCACTGGAGAGGGACCCGGAGCTGAGTCAGTCAAGATGGAGGACTTTGTCAAGGAGCATAGAGATGTGTGGACAACGTTAGCCAAGGAACACGGCCTCGATGAGAAGCTCATTGACAAGCAAGGCTGGGCGCATACCCATTTCATGCTGGTCGACTTTGACTTTGATCGGCAATATGATTTGTCCAGGTCTCGAGAGGTTGGGTTTGCGGAAGAGATTGACACAGTCGATGGATATGTTGTCTCTTGGGAACGAATGCGCGCTGCTAAGCAGCTTCCTCCCCTGAAGTAGCGTGTGATACTCGCCGAACTCATCATTGCGCATAAAGCTATTGATTCTTCAAATTGAACACTCTATATCTGCATTTCGTACGTACGCAGTGTTGTGACTATCATAGAGATTCTCTTCTTGCGGGACTAAAGACATCATTTCACTTGCTCGTCATTCTCGCAACTTTAACCAATAAGACCAAAGAACAAGAAGCCTTACGAAAGGACTGACGTTGACTCGCGAAGAACTTGCTGAATCGATGTAGCCACCCATGACGCAGAAACAGAAGCTCGAAAGGTAAGTACCTCATTAATTTCACGATCCGTCACGCAACAAAGACTACACATGCCACCAAAGCAATCCCCGCAAATTCAAGTGTACTCTGCTTGCGATTTCCTGAATTGGTCGCCGAAGGCACATCGGCCAGGGCACTGGTCGTTGCGGCGGATTCTGTGGTTTGACTCGCTGACGATCCGGTCTGAGATGCAGTTCCGCTGTTGACTTCCACGCAAGTGTTTGGTGCCCATATTGCAGCAGCTGAATAAAGTAAGAACAACTACGATCAGGATAGTGACTCTAATCAACCACTTACGTCCGATGTCTCCAAAATCACATCCAGCGGTAACGATGCAACCGGCCATTTTCGCAGAGAGGGATTCGGATTGGGTGCACAAACAACTGAGATCAGAAGAAGAACAACTAAGCTCCTTTGCAATGGATGCTAAGCAGTCATTGGCACAAGCTGGCGGTTCTTCACCAGCCAGCACAAGACCTGCGCTGGCCAGAATGAGTGCGACTGCACCAATGTTCATCATGAGATCTCCCTCAAAGGTCAGATTACTGAACAAGTGAAGGGTGAGCAATGTCACGGTTCCAATTTCCAAGAAAACGTGCGAATTCGAATGGTATTTATAGGAGAAACCCTTGCAGAAGAAGGTCGACGGTCATGCTGACATGACACATACAGTCAACTGGACAAGTAGCGTTGTGGTCGCAATCCTAGGAGTTGTAGAAACCCGCGTATACGTCAAAGGAGAGAAGCACAGCTACTTTCAGTTTTGTCTGGTTATTGCTGCGGAAATCTCAATCGTGTTGTTGCATGTTCCCAGCCTCATCATAAGGTATACGCGTATAGCGCCGTGGTCGGGGCACTGCCTCAACTCCCGCCTCGACCATCGAACAAGGGCGACAGATGATCCCATAATCAATTCCACGTCAAATAGACATCTCCACAATCTAGGACTGCAGCCGCCGCCCAAGCATGATAACTGACTTAGACTCAACGATCGTTGCGGATTTCATCATGAAGCAAGCCTGGGCCCACCGCGCGCTTCCCGAGAATCTCAGAATTTCGAAGTCCGTGCACACGCGCTGCCTGGGCCTGTCGTTCATTGGGCATTCATCCGTGCGCCACACTCCGCAATTAAGGTTATTATGTAATCTTCCCAAGCTGGGGTTATCCTGAGAGGTGACGTGCAGCCAACCGATCCATGGTAACGGCGCGCCCCTTTCCGTACAACACTACCTAGTCACGAAGCAATGGTGGAGTTCATAGGTAAGCCTGTCCAGCTGCGAAGGAGTATACTTGGGGGACTTCATTGACCTTTGCTCGCTCGCATAGACTTTCCGAGGAACCGCAAACGGTCGCGGGGCAAGTCGCGTTACAATCACCCCGCGAAGCGCCAGCGTCCACACATCCCTCCTGCCGAGTACATCCCCATCGACGACAACGATGGACCGACGAACGCAACGACCATCTACCAAAATAACCGAGCGATATCGCAACGATCGCATGATGCTTCCCAACTTCGAAGCAATGGACGATCATCTGCGAATTCCTCCAAAGATCCGATCCAGGCCGAGGTAAATCGCCTGCTGGCCGAATACACACGGGGTATCCCTCCCGACTTGTATGCTTCAGGGAAGAAAAAGGCATACTATATCGTCTGGAAAGGACATCAATGCGGAATCTTTACGACCTGGACAGCCTGTCAGGCCCAAACCAACGGGGTTTCAAAAGCTGGCTGTAGGTAGCAATCTGGTCGGGATGGGCTTCGCTTTCTGGAGGAATTTCACTGACAGGATTCACCAAAGTCGTGGGCACCAAGACCTTTTCTGAGGCCGTGAGGGATCCTTTTCCCGAAGTGGGGTTAATTGAAGCTAATGCACAGTAGGTTAGCAGGCTCCGACGAGAGCTTACGAATCAATTGCGACAAGCAGCTCCTAGGAGGCGGGAGTATAGTACGACAGAACTCACGGGACAAATGCCACAAGCAACAGGTCCTTTGAGGCAGAAATTTGTTGCCCCACCGCCATACTCTGCGATGGCTTTTGATAACGCGTCTGTTCCTCCTTTGCCTGGCAATGCTTCATACTGCCCACCCATCATCCCCCATGCTCCCGTTTCTAGCCGTCCCGCCATGCCTTTGCCTGATAAATCTCAAAATGACCTACCCATTCCCTACCCCTCGGCCCATAACGGTTCTCATTTTCCCCCACTTGCTTCAAACGCCCCGCTGGCGACAATGATTGAAAGATTCGAAGCGACGGTCACCGAGGCACCGATCGAGAAAGAGGTTCAACCTTGCCCACCTCCTCAAGACACTGCTACTCCAGCTACCGCTTCTGATACCAACTCTCAACCTCTTGCCTCGGACGATAGACATACTGCGTCGCCTACCAATGCTTCATCTGCCGACGCAGGTCTAAGGAACTTAACGAATGACGAAATTAAGATTCTGAAAGCGGAACAAGCTGAACACAATCTGGCACCTCCAGAAAAGCCTAAAGAACCTCCGCTTTGCGCGGAACAACAACATGCTATGGACCTGGCCATGCAAGGTCACAATGTGTTCATCACTGGGTTTGTTTGACCGAGCCAGGTCTCATCTCGGCCATTCGCTAACAAGATCACTGTAGATCAGGCGGATGCGGCAAATCAGTTCTGGTCAAAGCACTATACAGAGCTTTCAGCGCTTTACTTCAAGGATCTGGAAAGACAGTGAATCTCATCGCCCCCACTGGACAGGCCGCCCTCAATATTGAAGGCAGAACAACTTATAACTATGCTGGTTGGACGCCGGACGATTTGAAAAAGCCATTATACAGCCATGACCCTAACACTTACAGCCTCATAAGAAAGGCACAAGGCAAAAAGATATTCAAACGGTACACAGGAACTCAGGTTCTCATCATCGATGAGATCAGCATGATAGAAAATCAGTTCTTTGAGCGACTTAGTCGTGTCATGAGCGCCACCCGAAAAGACACCAGGCCTTTTGGAGGTGTTCAGATGATTGTCGTTGGGGACTTTTGCCAGCTGCCGCCGGTGGATCCGTTCCAGTGGTGTATGGCATGCGGCAGGGGAATGAGAAAGATTGGTGCCTCGAGCGTCTGCCCTGATGGGCATGGTGTCGAGTTCGAGGCCGAGGACAAATGGGCATTCAAATCTCCGGAATGGACAAGGTGTAACTTCAAAACTGTACACCTAACCAAGATTCACCGACAGCAAGACGAAGCGTTTATTGGGGTTCTCCAAAAGTGCCGATTAGGCCGGTTCCTCGAAACAGACGACGTGAATCTTCTTCTAAATCACGAAAGTGAAACCGAGAACGCAACTGAGCTGAAATCCACTAAGGAAGAAGTTGCCAAGCGCAACAAGCAGAAATTTGACCAAATTCCTGGAAAGATTCGGGAGTACCAGGCTATTGACGCTGTCGAATGCGTCCAGGGAGAAACCTCACAACCACCTCGGAACCTTGACGATCACCGTTACGCGCAAACTCTTCAACTGAAGGCTAACACGCCGGTGGTATTGCTTGCAAATGTATGTCACTTCACGAATCATGTGGACGCAGAGCCCGAGTCGCTAACGCGAGATATCACAGATTGATCTAGATAGGGGTCTTTGCAACGGAAGGCAGGGCACTGTCATTGGCTTTGTACCAGGCTCCGAGGTTAGAAGACCTGAGCCGCCAAATAGAGGAAATTTCGAGCATGATGACGACGCCTATCGGGCTGCCGAGACAAGACACTCAAAAATCGTATCTTTTCTGGATCGCGCGAGTGCAAGTGGAGAAAAGTGTAAGTCTACAACTTACTACCTAGCAACAAGAGACACGTGCTTTATTTGAACTTGTTATATTGACTGGATTCAGTTCCTCTAGTACAATTTTCACATGGTGTACGCTGCGTCATCGGACCTGATTGCAGCGTCATCGGATTTGGGGACGCGTCACCTTACAGCCATCTCTCGCGATGCCAGATACCTCTCGCACAAGGATGGGCTATGACCATCCACAAAAGCCAGAGCCTGTCTCTTGACCGTGTTACAGTCGATCTAGCAAAGATCTTCGAGCACGGGCAAGCATACGTCGCGTTAAGCCGAGCTCGGTCTCTCCGCGGCCTTAAGATCGAGGGAGCTACAGCTGCGCAGCTGAGATCTACTTTCCGAGTAGATTACGCAGTAGAGCAATTCATGGAGACGTTTGAGGCCGCAGACATCGAAGACAATCCCGCAGGCGCTCAGGAAGAGGATGAGAGCTCCGAGGAAGAGGAAGAAGTGAGCGAAATATCACAGGAAGAGTATGTGAGTTCCTACCGAGAAGAGGGACCGCTGGGGCAAGTTCCATTCCTTTTCGATGTGGAGGGCTCCGCTCGATGAGTAGCGCTGAGCTTGTATGATAAATTGATTGGTAGTCCCAAAGGACGAAACAGTTATATACCAGGAAGGAACGTCCAACCCTACTCATAGATGCGCTCCCCTTGCTTAGACGCCACTTGGCTGCTCAACTTCTCAATTGACCATCGTCCTGGTATCTCCACTTGCTTACACAGACATGCTTCCCAGCTTTAGTAGCGCTAATGGTCGTTGCGTAAACACCCAAAAGTGCTCCTAGACATTTTTATCGATTAGTCGATGAACTATTTTAAGTCGGGAGCCTAAACTTGCCCGTGAAAATCGGCCGGATGAGTGAAACGGGAGCATATGCGACTGTCATCAGTTTGGACTGATACGCTGCCGGCCCAGCAGAGAACGCGTAGTAAGATGCGTTGAAGGCTTTTATTTCCAGACTCAGCATCTGATCTCTCCACTCTTCAGGAAAGATCAGCGATGAGGACTCGATCAGCGTGCCATTGGAAGCTCCTTGAAAACGCAGATGTGGAGCTGGAGAGCTGGTGACGCTTGTGCCGGTTGGTACCATCTGAACGACCCCCAGCTCTATTTGTGTCTTCTCGCTGACGAACACAGTCACACCGGCCTCGTCACTCTCTGAACCAAGGGAAAAAGCCAGATCAACGCTAAATGTGAATAGACTGTGAGATTGTCGACGAGCCAGAAGGCTCAAGCTTTCGTCGCTTGCGTTTGCAACACCTGACGAAAGATTGCCGAAGGAAGGCAAAAGCTTAAGCCCACAACTTGGATCATCAGGCGAGAAGTTGAAGTTGCTTCCGTTCGGATATCGCCAGTGGACGAGATGCAAAGGCTTAAGGTGTATCTTGGTGAAATCAATGGCGTCCGTCCCTGCAACATCTTGACCGGCGATCTTCATATTCTTTCCGAGATCATAAGATGGTAGCTCCCATCCAGACATGATCCCTTCAACCTGGGTTGGCACAGGCCACTGACCTGGTTCCATGTCACTGGGAATAGAACCGTCTCGCGGCCCATTGGGAAGACCCTGTTTTGTAGGTTGACGCGCATCGCGTGCGCTGCACCCCACCAGCTCTCACCAGCGTCCTGAAACAGGTCAGCATGGCCAACAGCCTGAAAATATTCGGTCAAATTCGCGGTAGTAAGGACTGGGTTGTCTGGGTTCGCCTCGTATGGGCCGTTGATACTCATAGCACGGGCGTTGGTAACCATACGGTTTAAGAAAGTCCCACCCTTCGCGATGATCAGATAGTAGAAACCGTCTTTCTTGCAAACATGGGGCCCTTCCTGTGCTGCGCCTCCGGTTCCATTCCAGATGTTGATCATCTCGCCCACATTGCCAGTGTTGAGATCGATCGTAGACTGGAATATTCCAGATCGTACCTCTGTCAAAGGTGCCCATATCCCGTAGAATTGGCCATCGTCGTCCCAGAAGAGGCTGTTGTCGTACCCGTCTGCCTCAAAATGTAGAGGATTAGACCAGCTAGCTGAGTTGTACGGATCGGTCGATGTGAGAACGAAGTTTCGCCAACGAGAGGAATCGTTCTCAGGCAAGTAATCGAGAACGAGAGTGGTCGTCAAGAAGAAGGTCCCATTGTTGTATCGAAGGGTCGGTGCCCAGATGCCCCCGACTTCTGTAATGGGACTTGCAAATTCAGGTAATTGGTTGCGTCGAGAGAACGCGTGACCGATAAGAGTCCAGTTTTGCAAGTCCTTACTTGTAGTGATTGGGATGCCAGGAAAAGTAAGGAAGCTGGATGATGCACAGAAGAAAGTCTTGTCGAGTTCTTTGACAAAGATGCAGCTAGGGTCAGGATAGAACCCAGGCAGAATGGGGTTGAGAATCGTCGAGTTTCGCCCTGACGTCGCATCAGTGAGACAGCTGAAAAACAGGATAAGACACAAGGGTAAATTCATTTTGGTATGAACGCTATAATCATGTTAACCTTTTCATCCTCCATTGTTAAGACTGCAACATGAGTTTATAACGAGCCTGTCTATCTCCATGATACTAACTACTGCTTCACCGTGAATGAAATCCCGCGTTAGATTGCCCGATTCACCGACAGATCTGGCATTGAACATGCAGGTCAATGGAGCTAGACACGTCATTACCTATTGGCTGGAATACTCAGCTGAGTCACAAGGAATATATCCTTACCGCAAGTTGTTTTCCTGCCGTCCCTTTGTACGAAATTCCTAATGAGATCAGCGAATAGCAAAAACTTGAGTACGCGTATTACCTCTCCATTTCATGACACCTAAGTCCAGCTGCTCGCATGAGGCATCCTCTGCGAGGCGGAAATGCTGGGTTTTGTGCCTGATACCGATTGTCTGAAGCGTAAACTTTGGGTGTCATTAGACCTTTAATTTTCCCACTGATACGTCGACACGAAATAGCTTGCTTTACCCAGAGCTTAGTGTTAGCCAGGGTATGGCTCCAGCCCGAATACGCGAAGTGTGGCCATAGCCGAGGATCCTCACTACGTTGGGTTTTTGTATCCCTTTTTGCCCAGGAAAGCCATTCCTCGCGTCCATATTGATAGTACGACATGCGAGAAGCTACCCCAAAAAGCCAGGTGAATCGTGATATGCATGCTAATGTCCAGTTTGCCCTCTGCTGGTACTGTGACACTTATTGTCATTTGCATGTCATGCGCTTGTCCCTTGGTTTATACTGAGTTGAAGTACCGCACGAGCATCACATAATTCATTCCTAATAAAATCCCAATGAAACATGGATATTTTGTACCTATGCACTATGTACGTCTGTACAGGCCGCTCTCTCGGTTTTAGAGTTGGCTGAGAACTTCAAGCTCACAGGGTCTCTGGGCTGAAATGTTCATGCAACAACCTGCCCATTACCAGTCCTCAATCAGGCCGCAGTTGGTACCACGTGTGTTCAGCAGAAACTGGCAATTGGCCGAGTTGTCTGGATCAGCGCGACCTTCGATATCTGTGTACCCGACCCAAAGAACTTTGGAGTCTTCCTCTTGATATTTAGGCCACGAAGGTTTCGCTGTTTTATCACCATCACCGTTGGGGTCATGATTGAGAGCGAAGGAAATGTAGTAGCCTCGCATGATGTTGGCCAAGGTCGCGTTGCCAGGGAAAGAGAACGTTCCTTCATTCGAGCCATCGGCTGTTCCATCAGTCAGCAATCCCTCTTCAAGATGGTTCTCGCGAAGTATTTACCATTCGTCACACTACTGTACAGATAATAATCCGTAGTTCCGTGAAACTGGTAGCCTGCGTCGAAGACGAGCTTGTAGGCCGGTTGACCATACTTGACTACTGACCTAGCAATATGTCTGGTTGGGCAATTCACTAGAGCGTCGCCAATAATGGCGGACCGCTTCACGAAAGAGTCCGAAAGAGGGTATTCCAGAATCCCAGCCTCCCGAGCCTCCGAGTAAATAGTCAAGGCGTCGAGATGGGTTCGATTGTAAAGACTCGTAGGATAGAGCATCGATACAGTCTCAGCAAAGAAGCCGTCCGAGTCGTGCCATAGAGAGGTGAGATCAGACATAACCTCGCTTTCTGACGCTAGTGAGAAATTGGTGAACAGAAATCCTTCGTCAAAGTTTCGATACGTCATGACGGGAACTTTCGTGAAATGCCCATTTCTAAATTGGCGAGCAGGATGGTCGGGGATGACGTGTCCATCGACCACCGGTCCCCAGTAAAATGTCCCGAACGCGTAATCCTTGTGGTGATAGGCTGTTTTGAATGCAGTCTCTGTAGCTGAACGTATGCGGGAAAGTGAGGCGTCTCGCAAACACTTCAATGAAGAGCATCTAGCTGCCCTCAAGAACTCTCGATACTGTTGTTGCTGCCACCCGTTGTCGTATAGCGGGGTCCACCACGGAAACTCTGCCTGTGTTAGAGAGCGTTCAACCCTTCATGGAAGCGAAGTCTCTGTTGAACGGCACACCCACCTGGAATCGCTGCTTGAAATGGTGCTTCCTCTGATCCACCGTACATCACCATCTGCATAGTGACAGATCCCCCTCCCGCGCTGCCCCCAGAGATAGTAACGCGGTTGGGATCGCCCCCAAATATGTGGATGTTGGATCGAATCCACTTGAGAGCCATTCTCTGATCCAGGAGGCCAGCATTGGCTGTCCCATCCTTCTTAACATCGTTTCCGGATAGAAAGCCAAGCGGTCCTAGTCTGTATTGCAGTCCTACAAAGATCATTGTCCCATTCGACTGGCCGACAAGACTATCTCCAGTGCTTGCAATTTGACCACCAGCGAGATAACCTGGAGTTTGAAGAGTATCAGCTGGAGCACTCGAAGACATGATTTTCCGCCTGACTCACCTCCCCCATGTATGTATACGAGGACAGGCAGTCTCTGGTATTTAGGTAGCATGGGTGTTTGGATGTTCAACAAAAGGCAGTCTTCGGATTCATCTCCATTGTCTTGTCGCTTTCGTACCCGAGCAGCTGCTGTTGCGCCCTCCAAGCCCCAGTATGGAGTGGATTGGACACACAGAGGACCCGGCCGTATTCCGTCAATGAGTTGCAAAGGTGTATTAACATCGTTATTGTACTCAACCAGCACTGGTGCTCTCCACCTCCGATCTCCAGTTGGTGCTTGAGCATACCTGATGCCCATGAAAGTGTTGATCCTTTTCCGGCATGAGTATCTATTTACGACTCGGGTAATGCGAAACCTAGCGAGGGAGCTTACATAGAAGTCTTGTTTTGCAGACCAACGAACTTGACACCCGGACCCTCCACGGTTATCGAATCACCAAGAACCCCATGGCCAGCACAAAGAACTAGGGCCGAGAGCCTCAGAATGTGGACCATGATGGATAGGCCACAGCGCATCAATGGTGGTTTCAAGAAATGTGAACGCCCCAGAAAGAAAGTAGGCAATGGCGGCTTATGGTATCGGAGCCAAGATTTCTTACACGAGTACGTCCCAACGGTTGAGCGTCAAAGATGCCGGGAACCTGGGAAAAATGACGGAAGAGGCCACCAGCGATTCCGCATTCAGTAGTCTTATGTACCAAGGACGAAGTACTGACGCCCAGTACATGATGGCTGCATCCTGAACCCACGGCACACCGCATCCCCGTTGATTGCAACTGCTATTGCTTAGGTCCAGCCATCCGTCCGGATCCAACGTCACTAACAATCGATTGTTCGCGATCGTCTGAGACGAGAACCAACACTACCGTTTGCCGATCTAGGCTCTTCCAGGTATTAATAACTCGCTGGCTTTTACATGCCTCGTAAGCTCTCACCGGCTTCGGCGGGGCGACATCGTTGGAACGTGGGTGGTTGCGTGTAAGCTAGACTGAGACCAGACGCTGCAAGCCACCAGTGCAGCTGAACCGAGCTGCTTGCGGCGATATTGGAGTGGGGGCCTGAAGCATAGAGGCGTGCGCATAAATGTTTGATTCTATGGTAACTTTTCTGTTTTTCCCTTTGATTCCGACTTAAAATGCCTGAGATCGTCATGCTCATTCCGCGATGACGTACCAGTTCGTATTATATGCCCCTACGCAAGGCCTGCAGTGTGCGGTCAACCCATTTTTGTTGATTTGCTAACTTATTCTTCTCTCAAGTATCTAACAGTTACCATGTCATACCTGCCTGCCTGCGTCGGATACTACTGCTAAAATGATCAAGGTGGTAAGGTGATCCGGCTTTTCGGCTTTAACTGTGAGATTCCCGCGTATTCGCCGAATACGCGCTACTGCAGAGCACAACCATCAATGATAGTCGATATTAATGCCGTGTAACACCATCACAGATCATCAAATCAACAACTGAATCTGATTACGGTGGCTTTCTTCCTGCCAAGCACGGCAATTGGCAACGGCCATGGACTAGCTTCCGAGGAGGCGAGGACCTGGGATCTGCTTCGAAGTTTCACACATTGCTTGGATTGACATTCAACCAATACAAGGTATCGATTCATGTGTTCACTTTTGTCTGAGCCGCACATGAACAGGCATGCCATCCTTGGGATGACCGATTCCGTCGCCGGCCACGTACAATCGCTGGCCTCTCACCATATCCTTATGTCCCTTAATGCCGCTATTGGACACAGTTGTTAGCGTGTGTGGCACCAGAATTCGTAGATAAGGGAACAAACTTACCGAGCAGCATCCCATTCATCCCATGCCTCCTCCACATCGAACTTGCGGATGATAAGTGCGGCAACCAGCTTGATTTCAACCCAAGCAATCTCCTGTCCAATACAGTCTCGGGGACCTCTTGCAAAAGCTCTCCAAGCGTCCTTGACAGGGTGCAACGGGTCCTCCGCAGGCACAAGGTAGCGCTCCGGGATGAACTTGTCCACGTCAGGCCACAACGAGGGGTCATGCTGCATGCCTGGTCCGCCATCCCACACCAGAAACCCTTCGGTAGGATACTGCCTGCCCTCTGCAGTCAAAAAGAATCCTGCTTCACCGCCTCTCATAGTCGAAGCGAGCTGGTACAGCCGCAGACTCTCCTTAATGACGGCGTGTGTGTAGCGCAGCGAACTCAGAAGCTGTGGTGATTGGCTGAGGATCTCGGCCGCTTGGTCAGGATCCATGCCCAAGACTTCATCATGTTCCGCTCGAACCTTGGCCAAGCAGTCTGGATGGTCTTGAAGTACCTTGAACATGAAACACAGAGCGCTGGCTGTCGTCTCGTGACCGGCGACGAGGAAGGTCTTGAGGTTGCCCATGATAGTGTCCATCATCTCGGGGTCGGTGGCTGGGTTGGTGACGCGGCCGCCAGCTTCCTCTGCAAGGTGCATCAGTGCCAGGTTGAGCACCGTCTTCTTTTTAGCAGGCTTCAGTCCTGACTCAAGAGAGTGAATGATGCTGGGGTAAAGTTGGTTGTAAACAATTTCATTATTGCGGTCAACGGCTCTGTTCTGCCATGGGAAAAGATAGCCAAAGCTGAAAGCTTGTCGGATGCCCATCAGTCTGAGCTGGTCCGCTAGAGCCACCCTAAGCGGGCCTGCGGTCTTGTTCTTCTGCTCGTGCAAACGTTCATCCCTTTGAATCTTGTGAGCAAATCATGTTTCCTCTGAGATTATGGGAAATTAGGTCAGGTCTTACAAGACAGCTCGGACGATGATGTCGAAGGTAAGGGCTGTTGTCATGTTGCGGAGCTGGAACATAGGACCCCAAGATCCATTTGGACCAGCTCGTTGCTTCAGATTGTCGGCGAACACCTTGATCTCCTCAATCAGTTCAGGAACGATCATCGACACATTCCTGGAACTGAAGCCAGGATTGAACCATCCTCTCCACTTCTTCCACTCGTCGGCCTGCAGGGTGGCAATGTCCTTGCCCTTGGTCAGGGGATTCATGAAGTCAAGAGAGATCTGATGCTTGTCGAGGTTCTTCGTTTGGGTGAACTGCGCGGCAACCGTATTCTTGTATGCGGCCACGATGGGCGCCTTGAGAACAGGCCACAAGTCGAGGTAGATGACAGGCGGGCAGTGGTCCATTTCGGGGAAGTATCTTTTGTAGTTGTTGATGATCCATGGGTGAAAGTTGCCAATGTTGATGTCTCCTGGATACTCTTTCCGGAACTCCATCATGACATGCAGGTGACCTGTGATCCAGGAATGGGGTAGCATGGGCTATAACTCGACGTCAGCCTGTATGGACACAATGGTGGGAGACGCTTCACTTACAATGCCCTGTGCCCGCACTTGCCTAAACTTCCTCCGAATAGTGAATGCTTTCCAAAGAACCTTCAACACTAGAGTTCCAACAAAGACTGCGGCAAGCTTGAGGACCAGCGGCAAAAGCGCCGCTGGTGTCCACGTAACCGTGTAACCCATGTCTGCGAAAACGTTCCAAGGGTATTTGAGGAGAAAGTTGCACGTAATCAATTGCGCTGAGATACCAACTAGAAACGCTTCTTTTCGCACATGAGGTGCTTCCGTCACTGAGTTTTATAATCTATTCGGGTCAAGTGGGAGAGTCGCAATGCGGGAGCTCCAGATGGGGAAGTATGTTTACACTTCCGTTCTTGATCACACCGAGGAGCTTAAGCTTCTGGGCGACAGGGTCACAGCTCCGGGTGCATCAAAATTTCGAGTCATTCATACGACTTTTCACGGCCAATTGGGAAGCGCCTATTCATACAAACCACTGCTATTATGGCGCAAACCACAGGCAGCACATGTGTGCGGGGTTCTCGTCAGGTTGAAACGGGTAGATGGTGAAGATGGACGTGGGTCGGAAATGCCCGCCAATTTTCCACCGTCACTCTGCGATGATTTAACCGAAAAACCAATTTGGTACTACCATGCGGCCAGCATGAAGACCCTGAAAGATGCTGTTCCGAACTCTGTCTCGGTCGGTTGCAGACCCACGCCATCTTCTACCACTTGCCGCGTCGCCGACTAGTGAAGGTTTGTAGATACACACAAACTTTCACACCCTGCAGCCGAACTGTGTGATATTTGTGGAGGCGCTCCAGCTTCCCCAGGAGAAAACATGTGACCAATGACTTGAGATGAGAGCAGTTCATCCAGTGCACGGAATGTGGTTGCACAACCTATCGGTTACTGCATTAAATGCCATGCAAATACATATCCCCGTCTGCCTATCACACAGATTATTGACGAGTTCATCATGAACCGATGTCAATACTCGACATTAGTCCGGGTTCCCTCCAATTTGGGCACGCAGCATCGGCCAAGACAGCAGCTTGTTTGATTCCCAGAGACACTTTGATGCCGTGCAGATGATCCGCAGCCCAAGACCGCACCGCGGCACTATTCATCTCCTCCTGCGACACGATGTACAGTGGCCAAATCATCGTCGACGCTCCTGCAAAGGGATTAGTCCAGGACAGAATTTCGTCGTCCGGGGTTGCTTACTTGGTGAACCAGAGAGATCTGTCGTTGATATGCAAATATCGGTTGACAGATTGCGAATTGCTGAAAAGGCCTCAAACCGCATTGCCTCTTTCAAAGACTCATTATACGCGTTCTGCTGGTCCACATAGTTCAGAAGAATCTCATTAGCCAGAATACCCAACGACCTCCAATTATTCCAGACTTGCGCTCCCCAGACGCTGGTATATACGTGACGTTTTCCGTTGAAATACGTTCCGGTGCGAGATTCAATGACCTCAGTCACATAGTAAGCTCTGTGAGTCTGCAGTGCTGCCCAGGCCTGCAAATCGCTTTTGATGTCGAGTATGATCTGACAGATGGCGTCAGGGTCCGTGATTCGCTGACTCTTGATATCTGCGCGGAGATTGACGATTCGGAAACCGATTAGAGCCAAAGATCCTGGACGATTGTTTACGTAGCGCATCCCGAGTCTGCTGGACTCGAATTCCGTGGTCACCTCCACCAAAGCGGCGGGGACTCTTGCGCCTCGCTGGATACAGGCTTGAAGCTATGAAAGTCAGAGCGTTGAGTCGCATGTTGTGGTCTATTGAACTTACTATCTGATTTCTGAACTGCATGTAAAGTTGTATACCCAACTCACGAGAAAATTGTTCTTGGCCGCGAACTTGAAGCAGTGCTGTGGCTCCCTCGATGTGTGTCGCCCAAGTCTGGTAATCTCTCCAGTTTTCAAAAGTAACGGTCTGCCTTGACGTTAGTCTATTACCGGATATCAACGATATCACTGAAATGGTTGATGATAGATGAGTACCTCAAAGAGCCCCAGCAGGAGGATCGCCATGAGAGTTGAGTCCGCTGCGACCAGGGTCGGATCGCGTAAGGCTAAGTTCGTGGCGTTCAAGGCTTGACAGTATCGTTCTTTGGCCTGGATAATCACATCGGGTGCATTGTGTACGTTGGATATCGCCGCCATTCCTACGGCTTGGACCGCTGCCCGGACGACGTTGCTAGGGATGTCTTCCAGATACGTTTGAGCCAACCACTCCTGATATGTATCGCCAAATGGCGGTCCAGTTGTCGTGTAATATGCAAAGAAGAAGTTGGCTGCTCGGTCTTCTAGTGTCTGTCCCAAGCTCGTGGATATCGTGCCTGAAGAGATAGCCGTCCGTACGAAGTCGGTTAGTCCTACATCTGTACCTGTACAAACGTCGTGTAGCTGGATGTCGAGAAGGGTTTCGTCTCTCTCAGGCTCAGGACTTTTGTGAAATCTGTTCTTGATTCTTTGACGTTCGTCGCGAAACAGAACATCTGCCAGATCCCGGTAGCCGGGACACTGCGTCTTGCCCTTCTCGCATTTGAGGCATCCCGGTCTTCGTTGGTCACACTATCCCGGTCAGTTCAACCAAACCTTAAGCTGGGGGATACTCGGACTTAAGATAGCACATGCCTTGACTTTGCGTTTTCGACAGCGCTGGCATCCTTTGCTGAGGGCACCGTAGTAGACCATGATGCGTAGCAAGAAAAACAAGAAGGGATTGATCAACCCCGAAGCTCAGTCAGGGGTCAACAAAGCCGACGGATTTCGGATTTTAAGCGAAATTTCCGGTTAGAAGCCCGCCCAGTCAGTCAACAAAATGAAAACAGTGGAGGAGAAATCAAGTAGCAGCGAGAAACATCCGTTCACTTTTTGACGAAAGATCCTTCGCTCGCGTGTCATGAAAAATGTCCAGAGTGAGAATGTAAGCCCATGATTAAACGATGCAGGGGATTCAGCCCGACAAGGGAGCCGGGCGGGATCCGGGTGGCCGGCAGCGCATCGGCGGGGGGCTGTGGTCCCGACTCGCACTCTTGGCCCGAATCGGGATTAGCGGAAACGCCACAGGAGCAGCTCTGATTCGCTCCGGCTAGCTTGGTCATCCTTCTTTGGAAGGCCATTGGTGGGCCCATGTTGGTCGTCTCTTGCCAATGATCATGGCAGACGCAGTGACCTCCCTTTCATCTGAGTTGACTTCAGCAGAAGCACATGGCAGTCGTTGGGATATAAAGACTGGCCGACGACATTCCTAATTCTCGAGTTTTCTTCATACAAGTCGGAACCCAAAGAAATCATAATCATTCTTTTTGCAAGACCTTCTTCCCCACACTACGACTAACACACCAATTCACGATGGCTGAAACCCGTACCGCACCCGCTCCAACCTCTGTGCCCCGGGAGAACACCTTCCGCAAGTACACCGCAGAGCAAGGCAAAATCTACGCCAAGGGACGCCCAGTCTATGAAGACGTTCTCTACGATGTCATCATCGACCACCACAAGTTCACCGGTGGCAAGCTTGACACCTTGCTTGACATCGGCACTGGCCCCGGCACCGTAGCCAGAGGCCTTGGTCCGCGCTTCAAACGGGTCATCGGCCTTGACCCCGCCGCGGGCATGATAGCCGCGGCCCGGTCTTTTGGCGGAGTCTCTGGCAACTCAGAGCCCATTCGTTTCGACATATCTACCGCTGAAGAACTAGGATCGAACCTGTCTCCTGCGGTCGCGGACAGCAGCATCGATCTTGTCACGGCTGCAACTGCAGCTCACTGGTTCGACATGCCCGGCTTCTGGGCCGCTGCAGCCCGTGTTCTGAAGCCCGGTGGCACCGTCGCCATTTGGAGTGGCAGTTCTATGTACATCCATCCTTCGGTGCCAAACCATGAGCACATCCAGGGTGTTCTAAATGAGTTCCGAAACCAGCACTTGGTGCCTTACATGGTTCAAGGAAACCACATTGGCGAGACACTGTATGAGAATTTGCCTCTGCCCTGGACCGTGGAGAACCCGATACGCGAGTTCGATCAGAGCACCTTTTATCGCAAGGAATGGAACAAAGATGGAATAGTTGACGAGGACGGGGAGTTCTTTCATCAACTGACTTGGAGCATGGATGACGTGGAGAACATGATGATCACGGTGAGCCCTGTGACGCGTTGGCGTGAAGCCCACCCAGAGCTGGTTGGCACGGACCGAGACGTGGTCAAGATGCTGCGGAAGCAGATTGAGACATTACTGCATGAGGCCGGTGTTGAGAAGGGCAAGGAGACGATTACAACGGGATGGTCCGGAGCCCTGCTGATGGTAAAGAAGACCGCCTGAATTGCACAGGCTACTTGTCTGTTTGGATTTTGAGAGGGTCGCAATTGATTAGTAGATTTGAATGAGACGTTTACCTTTGACACAATAGAGAATTATACGTGAGCAGCTGAGACAGATAGATCCTCGTAGTAGAACCTGGACACCTCAACAGACTTTACCTTCCCTATCAGCTCTTTGTTCGTCTAATGGTCTCTTGTATTCGGCTCTCTTCTCCCCTCCATATATTAAGGATCAACACTCCAGGACGTAGATCCCTCGCATCTTCTTGACTCCCGCACCACACATGAGTACTCACCGAGCTCTGTACGCTACCGCGACTCCCTGACTCGTTGCTAGAGACGCCGCTCATTTTCATTCTCTGTCTATTTCCAAATACTGCTTTCAAAATTTATTTTCGACTCTCTTTTCAATCCCCAACAAGGAAAACATCATTGAAATTGAGCATTATGGAGCCGCATAAAATCGACTGGGTGGGGGCCTTTCTCTTCTCTTACTGGAACCTCAAGCGGAAACGAACTGAGGAGGCCAAAGTTGTCGACGGGTTTATATTGGAGTTCTTCAAGAACAGTCGGCCACCAATGTTGCTGGGCGCCAGCTTTGAATCGGTCTCCTGGGGCGAGGCTCTATTCGACCTCATGCGTCAGCTAAACGCCCAGTTTGGTAAGTATTTGCATCAAGTACAACAGCTCTGATGGAAATTCTGATCCAAGCCTATAGGATGCGCACCTTCTGATCCACATGGGACCCGGCATTCCCCTTGGCTGCCAACCGACTTTTGCTCTTCTATTCCGGGCAAGAGCCGGCCTTTTGTGAATTGGGTAGGCGTTGAAGCTTGCACTCAGATTCTGGACGACTGCGGTGACACCTCTCAAGCGATGGAGCAACTCCTTGAGCACATGACATCTGTTTATGAGCTCCAAGTTGCCAACACTCCCAACCTCACTATTTCAGAATATTGGTCCGGAAATCTGCACCTCAAAGCTTTTGAGCGAAGACACTATGTCCAGCCTTGGGGTGTCCCTGTTCTCTCTCCTGTAGAGGGTCCACGCCGGCTGTCGTGGCTTGTCCATGATACGGAGATAATCTGCAGCACACTGGAAGGGCCAGTTATTCGTCGAATTCCGATCGATTTCGAACTTTCGGTTCACTCAAGTGGTGCAGTGCAGTTAGAGTTGTATCATCGAGTCCCTAGCAGCGTCTGTCTCCTCGGTCTTTTCAAGCTACTCCATACGGTCATGCTTCGATAGTCAATGGACACGAAAGTGCCAAGACGTGATCTTTCGACTCTGGCAGAAAGGCTCATTAGCGAGCAAGAACGGTGGTCCCATGGGCTAGTCATATCTGGAGGATATTTGATTGTAATGGAGGCGTGGTGGAGGGCTCTTCAAGACTTCAGTCTGGATAGAATCAAACTCTTGGACACTGGTGTGACGCAAAAGCCCAGTTCAGGTTAGGCTCGTACAGAAGGCATCCCTACATACTTGTTGTCGGTTGAACTTCAATTGGCATCGTCATTTGTACTCTGAAATATTCGTTTACTGAGGCCATTGTAGGAAAGTTTTCATTGAGAGACTGCGTACTCAGCCAGAACAGTAGTCTCAACTTAGATGCCACCACGCGTATGATACAGAATGCTCTTCCCCATTATCTGAAGTTCACTCTGAATCTTCATCCACCTCACAGAGATATGACAGTTTCTTCTGCTTCTTTGAAATCTTGCTGTACATATCAATAGTTGGTGCGTACCTCTTCGCATGGGGTGTTAAAGGCAACAAGAGATTCTTGGTTTTAACAGAAGCAAGCGGTCTCGGAGCAAGTGTTTCATCCCCTAGATCTTTGAGTGTCTTCAATGCCTGCCAGAGCGCTCTAGACAGAGCGACCTGCTGGCCCGCAGCAAGATTAAGTGCATTCTGTCCACCTTGCATGTATGGTCTGATGCTGCACACTCGGCCTGAGACTCGTACGTCGCGAGCCCAACGGAGCATGCCTGTGAAGTAGTATCGCGCCTCGTTGACGGCATTGCGGTCCAAGTTTCCGTTCCCGGTTGAGATAAGATGAGCAACGCCGAGGCTGTTGTCGAACACGATCTTGAAGGGCCAAGTTGATAGAATCTGATAGGTATCGTCCTCAGGCCTCTTCTGCAGAGGAACAGCCCAGGGTAAGGGAACATTGTAGGTGGCTTGAAAGCTGACAAGGTGGGGGTTTCGAGACCAAGCTTCCACCAGCGTCATTTTTAATCCGGGTTGTATCGAGGATCGACCATAGGCGCGGCTCTCGAGGTATCCCAGAACCCACGAGGAGTTAGGCTCTGGCGCCATCTCGAAGCTTTCCATGTCCCAATCTATGTCATTGAAGTCCATCCAATTCACGAAAGGCCTCTGCCTCAGCGACGGTGAGTGTTCGAGCCAAACATATTTTCCTGCCTCCGACGGTTCGGAACCGAGGCCTGATGAGTTAGTGAGTCACGGTAAACCTGCTCAATGCTACTTGCCTCTGTCATAAACCGTAGCCCGCATGAGGTGCCACAAAAGATGGTCCCACGATCTCGGATGATCGATGGTGTTAACTGGAAGTCGTTCCCGGCTAATAACATCAGAAACGAAGTCGTTGTAGGTACCGGGCTCATGCGATTCATCTTCGTCTCTAGCGCAGACATCCCAGAAGAACCACCAAAAGGCCTCTTTCCAGTCGATGTCGTCAGCGTCGGGCATGTTGGCTGTGGGCGTGTCCGTTCGTTGAGTGGTTGCTAAAGAAGGCTCGCGTTAATCTTGGGAGGAATTCGGTCAGCTTAAGTAGACACTCATGTTGAACGAAAGCATGAGAGAAATTATTAGAAGCAACTTAGAAAAGTGATAGACAAAGTAAACGATATGTAGCATTGAAGCAGTAGGCAAAGGTTCGAAGGGCACGGTAATGACGACAACGAGTTTAGAAGTACGAATAATACATTCCACCCAGAGGCTTTCACCCTCAGTTGTTGTCAATGAGGCTTTCGAGAGGGTATCAAAGTAGATATTTGCTCATATTTGAGGAGATTGTCGATTCACAAGGAGCTTTGGCGACATGTGACAGCCTGCAGCTTAACATAGCGACAAAGCAACTATACAAGATCGACTGAATGAGCTCCTTCAAGGAAATCTATCGCCGCAACTTTCAATCAGTCCAAACCTCTAATTCGGGTATCTTCTATTTGGTGCGAACAGCAAATCTGCTTCTTCTTCTGAGGTTCTTGCCATATTTGAAGAACAGCCATGGAAAAGGCATCATGGCGACAGTCAAGAAAGCAAGAAGACTGGTTGCCCACTCGTATCCCAGTTTCTCATACATCTGAACACCAAAAAGTGGGAATGCAGCTGTTTTCAAGCCCGAGCATTTAGCATTTGTACTTGATTCAGATTCGACATGCGCAACTGACTGTTGACGTACCTGCGATTGTGCATCTTGTGAGGCCATTCGAGGCCATCGCAGACGCCGCATACTGCTTGTAGGCATCAACCTTTCACACTTTTTTAGCAAATTTATTTAACCCGATACAGGTTTGAGAGATTTTCCACTTACGAGGAAGGTGAAAATTCCAGTGAATTCGAGAACGGTCCTACCAAGGCCAAATGTCAGTCAAAAATGTGCAATTCCTGATGATCGGAGGACAAACCCGCAACCGAATACGGATGACCCGACAATTGGCACTATCCAGTGTATACCTGGCCGTGCCGTCCATCCATACCAGAAAAGGCCAATCGGTATAAGTAGCGCACCAGCCATCGCTGGTGGTAGTCTGAACTCGGGCTCACTTGTTCCATGGCTTTCCAGTAAGGAACCTCTGATTCTGGACCAGATCTGAGTCGTGGTGGCCGCCAAGCACATCCCAATGATGATGCCTGAGAATGTCAACCCGCCTTGCCAGAGATTCAAGTCGTACTGATTGCGGAATACCATGGGGAAGGCGAGGAAGAATAAGTACAAAATTCCGAGCAGTATGGCTGAGTAAATGTTCAAGCAGAGACACATCGGCTCAAAGACAAGAAACTGACATGGGCGGATAATTGATGTTGCCACAGCCCTTGTCTTCGAAGCCGGCAGGGAATGTTCAGTCGACACATGATAACGGTCGTCTCCAGTCTCCTTCCGGAGTCTTTGCGCCTTTGCTCGCAACAAGACCGAATGGTAAGTTTCCGGAGCAAAGAAGAAAATCATTACCAAGATAACTGTAGCCCATATGATCATTATGTAGTACGTCCATCTGAAGTTGAGATAGTAGTTGATGAAACCTCCAAGGAGGGGACCGGTGCAAGGGCCTGCAAAAGGGGCCAAAGATACAAGAGCCATCGGTTTCTGGATCTTGTGAGGAGGGAACATATCATCGCAGCTTCCTCCCGCAACTGAGAGAAATGTTCCGCCGAAAAAGCCGCTGAAGAATCGTGTGATGACAATCGTCTCGATGTTTTTGGCGACGGCTGATGGGATTGTCGATATGATGAACAGAAGCCATGTCGTAAGATAGATTGGCCTTCTTCCATAAGATTCGCTTAGAGGGCTGATGACGGCCGGCCCGAGACCGATTCCCAAAACAAAAGAAGAGAGGCCCAAGGTTGCTACCAAGGAGGACACTCCAAACTCGGGGTTCATCTGGGTGTAGGTAGCCGTGTAAATCGAGCTGGTGCAGGTGCTTGAATTTAATGTCAGCAGCTGGAACCCAAAACTTTACTAATGTATTGATGTGCTTACACACAGACTGTTCCCAAGCAGACGATGATGACGACAAGCCATTTGCGAAATAGGGGCATGCTGTGCGGGCACCAGGGGTCGTTTTCATCGTCAAAAGAGATCACGAAAGAATTCGGATCGATCCTCCTGGCTGATTCTGTGTCATGATTTGATGTGTTCGAAAACTCCGAGTTATTCTGGTTGTGCGGTTGCGTATGAAGCTTTTCGCCCCCTTCGTTGCCCTCAAGCCCCATGTTTCAGTAGCTGTAACCGAGTTGAAGGCTTCTGAGGGTCCGTTGTGGTGAGTGTTATGTTTTAATTCCACAGAACGTTCGACATCAATCAACCCTGACCCACTCATAGGTAAAAGATTCATTTGGCAAGAAGGGAAGAAAACATCGATGCATGGCGATTTCTTACTATTAAGAGATTAGCAACTAGGTGACACTAGTCCAGGGTGATGTACGTCACAATGTCTCCACTTATTGAGAGCCCGAGGTGACTTGGCGTGATGCCGGAGTCCTGGTCTTGCTTTTCATCAGGTCGAAAGTCGCCGAGGTCGGATCAACTCTGAATCGTGAGCTCTACCAGCAATAAAAAACTTCCGAATAATTGTGATCTAAGGGCGCCGATTTATTTAGAAGCTGTTTCTGCGCACTTTGGAACGAAGACTTGGTTGTTTCCCAGCATCTCGTACTTCTTTTTCGCAGGGACCGAACAAGCATGGACCACGTCGCCGAAGACGATCGCGTCCAGTGGGCAATATCACAGCATCATGTATCCCAAAGAGGCGCTTACAACTTCGCTCATCGCGATATATGGGGACCGCGGGAGAAGTCCATGGGCAATCCATGGTCACCGAGCAATCCCGATGGCACGTGGGTAGCATCTCAAGGTGTCTTGGTCTGGTCGAGCTAACGGGTGTAGAGTGATTTTGCGCCTAGCTGAGAACAGCTTAATGCACCAGGAAGTTGCACAGTTCATCAAGGAAACGGTGGGAATCACCTGATGATTCTCACTTAGAAATCATATTGACCATCGTGAGAACAGATCAATGTGCTGCCTCTGGATCATTTGACTTACAGCACAGGACCACGGGGATCGTTGCGCCTCCGTCGCGCTCTTGCTACATTCATGAACAAGGAATTTCACCCTCGATATTCAGTCACGGCAAATGATCTCTTTATAACGCCTGGTTTGGCCAGTGGCTTAGATGCAGTGGCATGGTCAGTTTGTGACGAAGGCGAGGGCATACTGGTTCCGCAACCATTCTACAACGGCTTCAGCTTTGATCTTCTGAATCGAAGCAACACACGAGTCATCGGCGTCTCTTATCGGGGCATGGAAGGATGCTCGAACCTTGAAGATATTTTCCGACCTGAAGTGAACAGATTGGCTCTTGAAGCGGCTCTGAAAAAGGCTCGTGGGGAAGGTGTGAACGTCCGCGCGTTGCTAATCTCAAAGTAAGTTGTCCACTTCTGGAGGGAGTCAGTGGCGATACAGATCATGGCTTATCTTTTTTTTTATCAAGCCCACATAATCCTCTTGGTAGATGCTATCCATCAGAAACACTACGGGAGTTCGCTTCTTTTTGTGGTAGTAATCGGCTACACTTCATTTCTGACGAGATCTACGCCAAATCTGTCTTCCCGAATTCAGCAATCTCAGGTCAAGCTTCATTTGTTTCTGTCCTTTCACTCGACCTTCACAATGTCATCGATGCAAACTTACTGCACGTCCTATGCGGCGCAAGCAAAGACTTTTGCGCCAATGGCCTACGTCTGGGTATGGTGTACACGAAGAATGAGGCTATATTAGGGGCGATGTCGAGCATTAGGTTGGTTCACTCGTCTGCGATCCACCCATCCCATTCTAACACAACACTGCTAGTATGTTTTCATGGTCACCTCATGTTCTTCAAGACGTCTGGGCGTCTATGATTGACGACCAAATGTGGATGGAATCCTTCATAGAGAAGAAGACAGAGCTCATGGTGGGGAACTACCGGGTGGCCACCTCCTTCTTCCTGGGGCACAACATCAGCTACTTCGAAATGTACGCACACTCAGCACGTTATCGACTGAATATTGGGTCCATGCTAACATCCATTTAGGAATGCTGGGCTCTTCATTTGGGTTGATCTGCGTCATCTATTCAACTCGTCGACATTAGACGGAAGGTTGGAGGTTCAGTCTGAAAGCTTCATAGCTCATCAGCAGCGTGAGCTCGAAATCACAGATTTATGCGCGAGACATGGTGTCATGATCGCACCGGGCAGCGTGTACATGCCAGAAGAGTTTGGATGGTTTAGAGTAACCTTCAGCCTGGGAAAGGAAGCACTAGAAGAAGGGTTGAGGCGGCTTGCCAGAGCTATTGCTGAGATGAGACTCTAGACTATAGATAGACGTTAGACTCAGAGTTCAAAGGAACATATTCTTTATCTTTGCACTGAGTGGTGGAACTTGCTCATTTGAGACCGGCGGGCTGTCACGTGGTGTGTTGTTAAGAAGCCTCGGCTTCTTACGGCGCACTTACTCCGCACCTAAACTCTCTACAGCCTTCCAACAAGACGCCGGCTTGCGTTTACTCCAGAAGCTGCAAAATACCTCGCCGTCTTGCGTCTTGGTGAAGTAACCATGGTCGACGGTACTCACCGGACACCAGATAACTCGGCGCCAGTGAGCCCGAGTCGACCCTTTGTCAATCGTGTCCGGGTCGCCTGCAAAGCCTGCAACGCTAGACGGGTCAAATGTGACGCCGATCAAGGACAGCCATGCTGGCAATGCCGTACGCGGCAAATACCTTGCGAACTCATTGAGTCCAAAAGGGGCAAGTAGGTTGTTATTACTGCTTGTCGCGTTACTTTGTCTCTTACGATGGGTCAGATATGTTCGTAAGAGACGAGCTCATCCAGCCAGCGAGACTTCATCGCCCCATGTCGAACCGCGACGTGGTCCATCTAACACAGAAGAGACATTTGCTCATGTCTATGGCGTTGAGGAAGCTGATGGGTCACTTGCATCATCCCATCAGGAGACACCACAAGATGTCAGCCAAGGCCTTTCGCCATTCGACTCCTGCGGTGCACAAGGAACCCCGGCTTCAATACCACATCAATCACAACCAAACTCACATGCGAATCCTTTTGTGGACAAGTCCAGTCTCTCCTACATTGTCGAAGTCGTTCACCGACCCAAAGACGGCTCAACAGAGCCCCTGAGAGTACACTATCCCATCCCTGCATCGATCATAGATCAGTCAACGCCCAATCTTGGCCCTAGGGCACCAGATGATCCGATCTCATGGCGAGAAGCTCTTGTGATGCCACCTCCTGAAGTGGCAGATCAACTAGTCCGCATCTTTTTCGATACCACACACGTTGCCTTCCCTGTCTTTGACCGGCAAAACTTCACGCGGTTGTACCTCCAAGGCAAAGCTTCTCCGCTTGTATTGCAGACGATCTTCCTTCTGGGCTTCATGGTCGGCAGCGATGATCTTGTTCAAGCAGGAGGCTTCAATGACAGAGCTATCGCTAGAATGACACATTATCTCCGCGCCAAGGCATTGTACGACGCCGATTACGATGCCGACCGAATGAATGTTGTAGCTTGCTTGCTTTTGATCGGCTTCTGGTGGGCCGGTTATGACGAGCAGAAGGATCATTGTCATTGGGTTGGCTGTGCGACGACTTTTGCGCAGTCCATGGGCATGCATCGCTCGTGAGATACCCGCTTCTACTTTTGAATCTCTGCTGACCTAAAATAGGATGTCTCAGTCCACGTTCAGTCCTCACACAAAGTCTCTCAGGAAGAGAATCTGGTGGGCGATTTACGTAAGTATATGATTGCTGACCTTGCCCTTCCGTGCTAATATACTCAGACCCGTGAACGGCATCTCTCTGCAGCGTTTGGTCGGCCATGTCGCATCCGTGACGAAGATTGTGACGTTGAGCCCCTGGATGAGGATGACTTTGACTTTGATTTGGATTACGACCAAAGACTTATTCCCACTCAACAAGAATACCACGTATCCTATGTTCTTGAGATGACAAGGTTGGCAGCAATACGTGAGCAGGCTACACTGTCAGACACAGTCTGTAATCATGCTGACGCCTCAAACAGTTGGCGACGTGCTCATTTCAGAGTTTAGTCCTCGTCGTCCCATGACAGAGCAATTCGAGACGCAAACCCTCAAAGAGAAGCTTTTGGAATGGGAAGTCAAATTGCCAGGCAGTCTCCGGATGTCGCCTCTTGACGGTACACTCGGGGCCCCTTTTTGGGCTAGCATGCTGCATTTCAACTATCAGTTAGCAAACCCCTAGAGTAAATCTTTATCCGTTATTTACTTATACAATACCCAGATACTGTCAAATACTTCTGTTTCGCCCAAAGTCCATCGAGATAGTCTCCGAGGAAGAAAAGGAACGAGACTCGCGAGCACGCATGGCAGCAGACGCCATCACTCGTAATGCAGAAGACCAACTTTCTGCGGATACCATTCAACATGCACAAATCCATCTGTAAGCGCTTCGATTCCTCGGCGAGGGCCATACTCACCCCTCTACAGAGTGCCGGCTTTGTTCGGCGCCCTGTCCATGCACACCATCGAAATTTGCCGCAAGGACTCAATTCGCCGACAGCTGGCGGAGAACAAATCACGCCAGTGTCTCTTGGCGCTGGGAGAATTATCAAAGTCCTGGCCAGTAAGGATCTGGATCTCGAAATCATTCGTCAGTCTGATGACGAGATTGACTGGCCAAGACTCAGCCCCCTCTGGCGGTGCTATCGTCCGAGTCTCTTCCAGCATTGTGAGTACCTGTCTCAACAAATGCACCGATACTGGCGGTTACTTACATGATGTGTAGCACCCTACGAGCCCAGGTGGTCAATCTCTTCACGGGATTGCTAGTAACAACCAGTCCGCTTCTGGTGGTGAGAGTGGGCACCAGGACACGACTCCAACGCTCAACGATGGCTCACAAACTCGGGACTTCGACCCTTATGACATCACTCAAGCAAACCCCCATCTGTTTTATGACAGCTTTTGGACCTCATATCTGGACAATGCCTTTGATGTGGACTTACTCATCCATCCTAATTCGGGTCTTTTTTGAGCTGCAGGGCTTTAGGTTTCTTCGACTCTCGTCTACACGATGAGATCATTAGATTATTCTGCTACTATTCACGCATGATGTGGGACTCTTCAATGAAACATATAGCCTTCGCATCCTCTGTCAACTTTGTTGTCCCCGGTTCAATAAGCTCTACACTATACTTTGCGAAACCGTGGCCAACAACTGAATCGGGTGGTTCAGGATTATCAAGTTAAACCTCCAGACGGGCAAGGAGGTGGGCTGTAGTCTGAATCATCAGTAGACGATAATCGTCTCTTCCGCCTCGAGGGACTATCATATTCGGCCGGCAATTCCAGACTGTAGGTAGGTCTTTGGGAAGCCTGCCGTCGCGGTTGCCTTCTTTTCGATCCATTTCCCTTACTGATGAATGATTTCGAGGAGGATGAAGAGCTGGAAGCCCTCACAGGTGCAAACCTCCTGGTCTCTTGCGGAGGCGCTCGTCGTATGTTCTTGGCAGATCGACTGCTTGTCCTTGGTGCATTGATTGGTTGAAAGCCAGAGACCTCTGTAGATCTCTGTATATCAATAACTTCAGCTGGCGTTCCTCTCACATTCTTTTGCGCTCCCGTGCCCGTTCGGATCTTCTTGGGCGGTGATGCCGTTGCAGCCTTCTCTGGATGCTGTGATATAAACCGTTCCAGCTGATCGTTCCATGTCGGACCTTGATCTGCTGGTGACTGAATTCGCATCGGTTGTTTTCCTTTTGCTTTATCAGATAATTCCGTTGTAGGCAACGGTTTACTTGAATGCGCAACAGTCGATGATGATTGGGTATGTGGCAGTTGAGTTGATGGCAGTGGCTGGCTCTGCGGAGATCGGTCTGGCGACAACTTGACCAAATTTGTTTGAATCTGTGGCGGAGGGTACACCTGTCTTTTCTCTTCTGCTTTTGCTGGCAGCTTCATGTCAGGCCGTGTCAAATAACCCGTGGGAGATTGAAATGTGTCCGACCGGGTCATCGCCTTTCGCATCTCGACAGGATGATCAAATGCTGTGATGGCGTGCCACAGCGCATGGTTTACCGCCATTGTGTCATCAACAACCTCCTTGTTGTCGAGCAGCGACTTTAGAGAGAGGTAAAGTCTCGCCCCCGGACTGCTATTCCGCATTGCCAGTGCCCAATGCAGCAAGTATGTGTAAAACAATTTGCACCAGTTGACAGTGCGGCGGTTGATGGGAACGTCGGCATCGGTCACCAGAGCAGCGTATCCTTGGTTCGTTGCGAAAGTGAAGTCAAAGCCGATGGAGGTTGTTCCAGACACTCGCTTTTTGAATTCTCGGAAGAAATCATCAATGCCGTCCGTCTCGTCATATTCCAACACAAATTCGGGCCTCAAGGGCACCCTCCATGGCCCCTCTAACTTGTGCGCGTTCTCGAAGTCGACGAGATATGGGTTGCCGTACCAGGCCTCGTCGGTAGTCATGCACACGCGCGACTCCAGCGGCCCATAGGCGACAGTCTCCAGATGGTGCAAAATACTGCGGCCAACTTCTTCGGGATTTGCAAAGAGCCGTTCGAGGCTGATCCAATCCACAAATGGCTTCACAGACGCGTTGGACGTTCTCGGACCATTGATCCATTCGTACTCGTTGTCGGGATTCCACGAAACGTTTGATCCTGTGATAAGTTTATCAGCGAACAAACAGGTGAGAGAAGGGCTGCCGAATCCATTACCAGTCAGGCGCCGCAAGAATCGCAGGAGAAAATGCAAGACGTAATCCCATGAACTCGGCAGAGCGGCCATGTTCGAAGACTTGTAATTTGCGCACAGTGCTCGTCGGATCTCTGCGTTGATGGTCTTCATGTCTTCCTCACAGCGACAATTCTCCATGTCCCAGTAGAAGAAGAGGAACGCTTCCTTCCAGTTGGTCCTCTTTGGACCAAACACATCTCCATACTCTCGTTGATCTGGAACTTGGGTCGGTGGTGCACAAGGCGGGCTGGGAGTCGGGCTGCTTGCTCCGAGTGATGCACTACAGGACATGTCTATCTCCTTCGATCAATATTATATCAGCAAATCTTACGACAATCATAGTGGTTGCTCTTTTTTTCCGTACCGATGGCACTCAAGGTTCTCAACTTTCCTGGCAGACCAGATTGACTTCCCAGGCGACGCTACAGCGTCCAGTTTCGAGATGCTTCGATAGACACGTTGCTTTGGCTTCTCCACGGTTTGACAGGTCGACATCCGTAAAATACCCCTAATTCTAGGGATTGATCAGCTTTAAATGTAAGGACTGTAATGTTTGATCGGGGTTTTCTGTTTGTTATTTCGGGGTGTCTTAAACAAAGAACTGAACAGGCTGCACTTGACCGTGCCTACCCGTTGAAACCACACAATTCCTGCTGAGCCGTGCAAACAACTAAAAGCATTGACATAAAACACGTCATTTCACACCGTAGGTCATACAAGAGTTAAAATTACACCTGACTTCCTTTGACGTGTTTAAATTGAACGTCTGAAAACATCTAGAATCGTCTACAGCTGGCGTACTGTGTGACACCAATCCCCTTTGTTCCCTTAGGTGGAGTAATTAATAGCTTTCATGAAGTATAGAATCATAAAAGATAAAGCAGCATGTTTGCTCCTACTTTGCATGTTTGCTATGCAACTAGCAGTACGTCTGTCGTAAAGTCTTTGATAACTTTGCTCCCTGGGGGGATACATCTAGCTATCCAGTTGGATACTAACGACGGCAGGGATAATAAGAGTAACGCAGGTCATAATGATAATAGGGACAACAATAGAGATAATTACAAGGATGATTATAGATATAACTTGACTAAGAAAGAATATAGCGGCTAATGTAGTACTTCTATCTCTCAGCAGAAACTTTTAACTACCTTATTCAGCAGAACTCCCATGCTATAACGCTCTCTCAGACACTATATAATTGGCGGTTAAGTATAAAAGCTTGAAAAAACCTAGTACGGCCCACACAGATCTCAGAAGTCCGTTTTACAAATGTGAAACAATTAAAGGTCGTGTCACTGTGTTATGTGGTATGTTACACGTAGCCTGCCTTAAACAGCATTGACGACACTTTCGATCCCCCAGACTTCATATCATTGACAGTCCATCGCGAAATCTCCATCAGCCTGCGGACACGGACTCTATGTGTTGTTGTCGGCCTGGCGTGTGTCTGAGTCAGAGATGCGGATCCCTTGTCTGCCACGGGCTGTGTAAGTACGGCGTTGAAAGACCACCGAGACTAGCAACTCGGGATCGATCATCCTCGAACGAATAAGTCAATCCTAGAAGCTTTGAGAAGGAAACTACCATCTGCACGGAACCTTCTCAACGACAGGAGAGCTCGAGTGCCTGGGCTCCAAGTTCTGTATATCTTTGCTCCTGGTCTCCTGTGATCAAGATTCTTCAATAACCCAGGACGGCACTTCATTTGCATGAATCCACACCTTCACAAGAACGACAGACACTCTACCAACGATCCGACTATGCATGACTCACGCTTCGCGCCGGAGCAGTCCAAACCACCGCAGGGCCTAGCTCTCAAGGCCTTGTTCCTCACCACTCTTGTCGCTTTTCTCATCGCTACGTTACTGATGTACCTCATTGATCATTTAAGCCGGCGGGAATTCTGGGTTCGCCGTCGCTTGGAAAGGTTTTGCGACTCGCAGTGCGAGCACTGGCGTAACAAACTACCCCTCGGTCGAAGCGATGCCTTCTCCTTCCTCTTCCACGACTTGCTTACCATGTCAACTGAGTCAAAGAAGAGACTATTGAACATTCTCCGGGCTGCCGAGCTGGAGCAAGAGGGCTTTCATGCTGGCATGTACCCAGACGAGTGGTTAGAGTTCCTCCCTTGGCGCATTGTGCAGGCTTTACATCCTGTCGCCTGTAGGTTAAAGCCCTATCACAGCACCGTGGTGCACTGGTTTGACTGATAAAATTCCTATCCATACAGCCATGAGCTTGACGAACCTACCTGCCAACAACAGTGGTGACCAAGGCCCAGAGATCATCTACGGCAGCAAGGCATGGTTCCAGACCCCGCATGACGGCCGAATCCTGCCAAAGATTGTTCATCACCCAGATATTGTCACAACCACTGGAGGGCTGCGCAACTCACGACGGCTTGAGAAAGACGCTTGCCTCGACAACATACTCACCGCCCTAAAGGAGCCCCTCATCCGCGACACGAGAGCGGCTAATCGAGCAACGCCCACAGAAGACCTGATCTTCTCCTGGGAATTCATGTTCGCAATTCGATGGGCCTGGACTGACAACCCCTACCTCGCGGACTTCCAAATCCGTTACGAGGTGCCCATCTGGGGGGTGCCTGTGCCGCAACGTCTCCTGGCCGCCGGCACGGACACGGGTGCGGGTCCACGTCGGCGGCTGTTCAAACCCCACTTCGGCTTTGTGGAGTTCTGGGCGGGCGCTTTCCAGGTCGCCGTGGATTCCGCGGCGAGAGCGGCGCGGGTCGAGCTGGACGAGGACATGGACATGCCGGCGCCAAAGGATTTGGAGAAGGTGATCAACGGGTTTCGGATGCTGCACACGGCTCTCCTCTCCAATTTCGCAGGCGCGTTTGATGAAAACCGCGATTCGACTGTGTCGCTGGAGGAAGTTGTCCAGCAGGCTTTTCACGAAGCCGTGACGAGTGAATATACTCATGAAATGGACCGAGAGGTCGAGGAGCACTGGAGGGCAATCGCAAAGTGGCGGCTTCGAGTTTTGGGTCCCCAAGTTTGCGGGTCAGATATCTTACTGACAGAGACGATTCGTGATGGTCGGAGTTGGGTCCGTAACATAGCAGCAAGACATCCAGAACGTAGAGTTGGTTCTCTTTCTTCTCGGAATGATTATTGAACAACGTTCGCCATAAAATTATCGTGCCCCATCGCAACGCGGCGCTTATCGGCCTGCCGTCAATGATCGACCAGGGGGCCAAGGGAGGTCAAGCTCCGAGCATCGACCTTGGCATAACGGGTCCGTGGCGATCTCTTCGGCCAACGTCCATGGCTATCGCGATTCGCGAATCGCAGGATGCAGCAGCACAGCGCTTGCCTGCAGGACACACTGGTTGACTGGGAAGAAATTTTCACCGCCCCTCGTGACTGCGAACAATCGTCGTCGGCGTTATCACGGCGGCATTCGTCTTTATTTTTCGACGCCACGGATTGCCTCTTTCTGCCTCCCCGTGGGATGCGCAAGCGGTATGGACGTGTGATTGGTCGTGGAGACGGATTAGGAAGGGGGGAAATACGTTCAACCTCCGCACGTGGAGTTCTCCAGCTGCACAGGAGGAAACGAACGAGTGGATGTGTGGTGGTACGTCATTACATAATCCTCCACCTCGAAGTTGGGAATTCAGGGCTTTGGGAGCGCTTCATTGGCCATCTTCATGCGCATCTGATCTTGCGGCTGGCGCAATCTCGAGATTGAACAGAGGGGCGAGCAACGTTGGATTGAACGACAGACGGCTGCATCGTACGAGACCTCCACAGCGGTGGGATGCCGACGGGTAAACGCCGATGAAGAAAGCACCCTTTGTGGCCGGAGACTCCTGTGCGGTGTTCACGTGAGGATCTTGCAGATGGAGGCCCGAAGAAGTGGGGAGGGGGGCGGCAGACTTCATGAGCTGGTAGGAAGGCTTCGGTGCTGTGCATTTTTTGTTTCATCGACAGTCGGGCCGTCAAGGGAGGATTCGGATGGCCAACCTGTGTGGTGATGCGGCTGGATGGGCTTGGCTTTCCAGGTTCTGGTTCTAGATGGGACGAGGGGGGCGTTGGAGGGAGGGTGCGGCTGCGGCTGCGGGAGTGGCTGGCTGTTGATCGACCTCGATGTCCTGCACACCTTGAGTGATTGTTTCTTGCAGATAAATTGTGCACATGATTGCTGAGTCAGAGCAATTTTCACAAGAGGAAATCCCATCTCATGCGCTGTCGGAATTGCAGCTACCGTCAAACAGATTCTTGTTGTTGCGGGGAGAAGTTGGGGATGGGATGGAGAGCGAAGGATAGGTACTCACCACGCAGTACAGTAGTTCGGACTCCCCGGACGAAGGACGTCATAGTCAGAGCCGTTCGCGCTCCGCATGCCGCCTTGCCCTGTTCGGCAGTCCGACTGACTGGATGATGAAAAAGAATATGGAGACTGCAGGACCTTTTGGTGTTTGTACCCTACCTAGCGAGCAGGCCAGGCGGCGGGCGGGAGGTGGGAATAAGCAAGACAAAAGGTTTACGGCCATGGCTCGTCATCGCCCTCGTTCAGGGAACGCACAACGACCCGCTTCCCTGTCGCGACCAATGGCATGCGCCGGAAGCGGTGCCAGGCACGGCGGACTGCTAAGCCGCCACTAGAGCCGCCTCCCTACGCCCTCCTGGAAACAAGCTTTGCAGGCCGCTTTGCCAAGCTGGCTGCCGCTCTGCCGCAACTTGGCAAAGCCGCGACAGGGCGAGAGACACCACCACACATTACACATTTTATATCCGGCCAACGCTTTTTTGCGGCTGTCAACGTCAACGATGGATTGACAGCAACGCAGAGGCAGCGCGTGTGCCTCATCCTCCGCAATCGCTCTGACCCTCCTCCGGACTTGCTCCTCGCATCCACCGCCTGTGGACCACGCTGTCCCGATTTTATTCCCAGACAGATGGGCGGCCAGTCGAACGTTCGGGCAAAGACGAACGGCACTAGCTGCTTTACCTCAACCCGCGCTGCATCTCAAAGTGGGACGTGCTGCGCTAGAGGTTGCCTGTTTTGCGCCACCGTCCTCTGCCGGTGATGTCACGGGTGGGTGTCTGCGCTCTGGGGACTGGGGGAGATGGCTCGACCGCCTGGGGAATGCGGCCAGCCGCGCAGCCTCCTCCTCGGCCTCCGTCCGAAGATCTGGTTCTGCGGACTGAGCCTAACGTATGGACGGTTAGGCCTTTATATGTCCTCGGTCTCCCAAGGTTGGCCTACCAGGCGTCTCCGAAAGTCAGTTGCACTACTATATTACATGTGGAAACCATCGTGATCGGAGGAGCTTCTATCTTCCTTCTTTCTTCACCTCTCGATCTCCTTGAAAATAGGAGACCTCACCGAAGCAATTGATATTCTCACCCGCGCATGAGAATAGCCCACCATGTCTAATGCACGCTTCGTCGACGAGCCGCCTCAGGTTATCAACCAGGCGGACCTCGACCTGGCCAACGAAAAGCTCGAGTCCCGCGATGAGAGCTCCGCGAACGGCAACACTTCCAGCGAAGATGCTGTCAAGAAGGAAGTCGACAACACCCCCGGCGCCACTCACGGCGAGCACCCGTCCAACGGGAATGGCGCCAAGCTCGAGAGACTCGGCACCAACGACAAGTATGAAATCACCGAGGACGACTGCTACGATGAGCTCGGCTACTCGTTCCCCAAGTGGAAGAAGTGGACCATCCTGACAGTCATCTTCTGGGTTCAGGTGTCCATGAACTTCAACACCTCGCTCTACTCCAACGCCATCCCGGGTATCCAGGAGGAATTCGGTGTGAGCGCCCAGGCCGCCCGCTGCGGTGCCATGATCTTCTTAGTTTTGTACGCCTTCGGTTGCGAACTGTGGGCCCCGTGGTCCGAAGAATTCGGTCGCTGGCCGGTGCTCCAGCTCTCCCTCTTGTTCGTCAACATCTGGCAGATTCCTGTCGCTCTTGCCCCCAACTTCGCTACCATCATGGTCGGTCGTGCGCTCGGCGGTCTCTCGTCCGCTGGTGGCTCCGTCACCTTGGGCATGATTGCCGACCTGTTCGAGTCCGATAAGCAGCAGTACGCCGTCGCCTACGTCGTGTTCTCTTCCGTCTTCGGCTCCGTCCTCGGCCCCATTGTCGGCGGTTTCACGGAGGAGTACCTCCACTGGAGATGGTCCATCTGGGTCCAGCTCATTTTCGGTGTCGCCATTCAGCTGGTTCACGCCGTCTTCGTCCCCGAGACCCGTAGCACCATCCTGATGAACCGCATCGCCAAGAAGCGCAGGGCCGCCGGCCACCCCAACATCTGGGGCCCCGATGAGCTAGTTCCCTTCGCCGACCGCTTCTCCATGAAGGAAGTCATCTCCACCTGGGTCCGCCCCTTCAAGATGTTTGTCACCGAGCCAATCGTCCTGGTTCTGTCACTCCTCTCCGGCTTCTCCGACGCACTTATCTTCATGTTTATCCAATCTTTTGCTCTGGTTTACAAGCAGTGGAACTTCACCACCGTCGACATTGGCCTTTCTTTCATCCCCATCGGCATTGGCTACGTTATTGCCTGGCTGGCCTTCATCCCCGCCATCAAGCGGAACATCAAGGAACGTAAGGCCAAGCCCCAAGATGACCGCGCTCAGTACGAGTCTCGCTTATGGTTTCTTCTGTACACCGCCCCGTGTCTTCCCATCGGCCTGATCGGTTTTGCATGGACTATCCAGGGCCCGCCCATTCACTGGATCGGCTCAATGGTTTTCGCTGCCATTGTGGGTGTTGCTAACTACGCCATCTACATGGCCACCATCGACTACATGATCTGCGCCTACGGACCCTACTCCGCCTCAGCTACCGGTGGAAATGGATTTGCCAGAGATTTCCTAGCCGGAGTGCTCAGTTTGGCAGCAGAGCCTTTCATGACACAGATTGGTACAGCGAGCGGGAAGAATCTTGAATACGCCTGCACGATCCTCTTCTGCATTGCTTTTGTGCTGGTCATCGCCGTCTTCGTCATCTACTGGAAAGGACCCACACTGCGTGCCCGGTCGCCCTTCGCCATGAAGCTTGCCGACGCCAAGGATGATGCCGGTGGTCGTCGCCCGAGTCACGTCGAGGGTGGTGCAGACACCAGCACTGCAAATACCGGTGACGATGCTCCCTACCGTCCCCCGTACGTCCGCCAGAGGAGCCAGAACTCGAGATTCTTCGGCGAGAGCAGAGTTACCCCCCGCGGCACTCCCAGAGGTACTCCCTCCGCAAGCAGAGCCAACAGCCGTGCCAACAGCCCTTCCAGGCGCAAGTAATGGGTTCACAAGAGAGCACTTCTCGATCACTCGTCGGTTGAGAGCATACATGTGTGGCGTTAATTTCATGACCTGATACCCCTTGGCAGTTGCCTATGAAGACCTAGTCTATTGTTAGTCGTAATAATAAACGTTGTACTAGTGAATGTAAAAGTTGACGTCTTACCATTGGGATGATTTGTGCAATGCCGTCCGCAGGTGATCCGAGAGGTTTAGCAGTAAATATCAACGTCTTCCTCGTCGTCATCCTTGTCGTTTCCGTCCTTGTCGTCGTCCTTGTCGTCGTCCTAGTCCTTGTCATCCTCGTCCTCGACGCTGTCGTTGTTGTTGTCCGTCGTTTTCGTCTCTCGCCGTTGTCTCGCGTCATTTCCCATCATCGCTTCTCATCGTGGTCTCGCGTCGTCGTCTTCCATCGCCATCGCCTCGTCACGCGTTGGATAGATGTAGGCATCGGGATAGGCGTGGTTGTCTTTGGGTCGCATGGCATTTAGGGTGTCGATGATTTCGAGGAACAGGAGCATTGTCCAGATTCGAAAGGGCAAGAGTTCCTTCACGTTGCTACCTTACTCTGAGGAAGGCATTACTCGAGGGTCCTGCCTTATACGGCAAGCGTCTGCACTATGTTCTCATTTGCTCCTTCCCTTACTCCCTACCTCCCCTTGGCCCCCCGAAACAGATGATTCCTCGCCTCCACATTTGCAGACTTGACATCCCTCTCTTCACCTTTCGACTATCCGCATACTTTGCAGATATCACTCTTGTCGATCACCACGTCAAAGTTACCCCCAAACGACTAGCACAGTATGGCGACAGGGCAACTATCCGTCCTTCCACCAGAGATTCGAGCCATGGTCTGGAAGTTTTCGCTTCCTGATGACGTATCTGAGGTCTGCATCTTCCAGAAGCCGTCGATATTTGCCACGTCGGTATTTTCTACCTTAGTGGTCGACACTGCTTTTCCAGCCTTGGTACATGTATGTCGCGAAACCCGTCACTTCGTCTTCAACACCAAAATCAGTGGTATTTCGTTTCGTTACTCCGACCGCGCTGGCTGCGACACGCCCTATCGACCCTTCCGAAACGAACTTGATACGTTGCTCAACGCATATGGTTCTGGTATCAACCACATTCCAACTAATGTCGACTCCACGGTAGAGACAATGGCTTCAGCTCACAATATCGGTGATATAGACGCCATCAGAGAGGTGTCAGAGCTGTCTTACATAGTCAGCAGCTTTCCAGATTTGGAGCATCTGGCGGTGCGAGTACCGGCAAGGCGCATGCACATCCTCCAAGTCTTTATACGGGAAATATTGCACCACTTCTTGCCTCGACTGAAAACTGTTACATTTGTCACTGTGCAAGCCACTAGTACTGTTCAAGCCACTGATACTTTGCAAGCCACTGGTACTGGTGGTCCACTGCTACTCCCAGACTTCCAGCCGCCCGAGGGCAGGTGCAAACTGCATCGATTCTCTACGAAAGAGATGGAGCACCTTGCAATCAAGACACGCCAAGATGACATCCAGAGCATGGATGATTTGATTGCCAGCGTAGTATTGGACTCTATGAAACTTCGAGCGTTCGTCGATGCCACCAAAGCAAAGTACAAATCGTCACTGGCGTAAGTCACAAGCGTCTTACTCGGACCCTGGGCGCACTGCACTCACTCTACTCCACACCATTCCTTCGCGTCGGTGGCTGACCCTGGAATACATGCAGCAAAAAGATAGAAATTGAAAAAACCATGGACTCTACGAACGGAGAGAAAATCTTCCAGGACATCCTGGAACGGGCCGTCGACTTCCAAGCGCATACCTTCATCGAGTACCAAAACGGCTTATGGAACCGAGCCACGGCACATCCATCTGAACAGATTACTCATATTTCCTGTTTATTGCTCGACCACCACCATATTTACCCTGACGCTTTCGTCTACAGAGACGGCGCGTATATTGCGAAGCGGGAAATTCCAGCGTTGTGCGCAGCGGAAGGGCAAAGAAGGTTCGAGAAACTGCATCAGGAATTTGTTAAACTAGGACTTATCGAAGAAGATGCACAAGTGGACGACGAAGATGAGGGGGACGATGGGGATGACGAAGATGACAACGGTGACAACGATGCCTGAACACAAAGAAACCTAAGGACGACAAGGTCTAAAGACGACGAAGTCTAAAGACGACGAAGTCTGAAGACGATGAAGTCTAGAGACGATGAAGTCTAGAGACGCAGACGAAGACGGAAGCAAGCATCGTCGATTGGAACCCAATCAAGACAGCTGGGATACAGGACGTGCTAAGCTTGTGTTCCGCGGAAATGACCTTTTGGAATGGGGTATGTCGAACAGATTAGTGAACATAGGTAGTTGCGATCACGGAGTGAAGGTATGACGTTGCATTAACGGCAGTGTAATGGAAATACCAGCTAGCTGAACCTTCGCGAGTAACTCCTGCGACGTTGCAGTGATTGGCGTGTTCCCTGTTCTGATGCCAGGTTATCCTTTCCAGAGCTGTGTCCTTTGCTTTACGCTGGTCGTCAATTGGATGGTGTTCCAGTCAAGTAGTGAAACGACTTTTGACAGGTCTTGGCCTTACTAACTACACCCAATTACGTCCCAAGTTTGTACGTGGAATAGTGTGTGTCTATGGAATGCCACTCAGACACCTACATTCTAGACAAGCATAGGACTCAGAAGATTGATGATAGGGACGACGACATAGGCCACTAGACCCAGCAAAGAAAGATATGTCCAACTAATAGCTGTCGGTCTAGACTTCAGCCGCCGACCTCAACTTGGAGGGTAGTGGGTGATTGTTCAAACCCCCATTATATTACCTGCTCATGTATACACTTGTATCGCAAGTCTATTGCGTCGTCGGCCGCCTGTCGTCGCTGCACAGCCTCTATACCCTCAAGAGTATACCTTGCTGCGCATGTCTTAAGATTGCCTCTTTCGGTTGCTGAGAGTAAGCGTGTCTTAGACTTTGCCTAACGGTATTACCGTTGTAAATCTCTGGCCGGGCATAATCTCCTCTCTTTAGAGTTGCGCCGTCTCAGGCATTGAACAAGTCGCAACGTGCTCACTGCGTGCGTGGGTTGTGGGTAAAACGGCCCTGCATTAGTGCTGTGCGAGATGCGACCTCGGAGGGGAGATCGAAATCGAGACAGACACCTTCATCTCAAGTCATGATATATCCCAGGACCATGGAAAGGGGTTTCCCGTTCTTCGCGAGGGGTCCGGATGATCGGACATCGTCCGGCGTACCAGCCTATCGGTAGAACTCCATCTGTGGGAGGTGTAAGCGACAGACTTTGAAGTCGCATTCAGCAAATTTTGCAGTTCGTTTGTCGTCGACGAAGCTGACGCGAAACATCCCCGGTTAACCTGAGGTAGGCAGCGTAGCATCCATTTGTAAGCTATGGCAGCAGCAGCAGTGCAGTGCAGTGCTGGCCCGCGGCCGCAAGTTCGTTAGCGAAATCGGCGACTGACTCGGTGGGAGATGACAGTGGGGAGGGGCTAAGTGATTTTTAGAGTTGCACGCCGTTAGGTCCTTTTGTTCCCCTTCTGCACAATCTGCTGTCGCTGGGCAATGAAAGCTCACTGAGAGTTCGCGCGGTTCGTCATCTCCTGGGATGAGGCAGAAAAAAGAAGATGAGGCCGAGGTGCAGAGACCATCTTTGGCGGTACACGGGCCTGGAATGGGCACTTGTATAAATTGGTCGGCGGATTCGGCGCAGCATCGGCGGGATGCCACCGCCCAAGAGTGCGCGCCCTACTCCGTCAGGGACGAGGATACGGATAATACGAGAAGATTCGGCCTAATTTGCGGGCAGCAGGTCGGGGAGACGGACCCCACTCCCCGGACGCTTTGCCCGAACGGATTAGAGTTGGGCATTTAGACTTCACCCCTAAAACACAAGACCAGCATCAGGTTGCGTCGGGGGGCGCACTGCATCACTTGGGGTATAAACCGCGTATGCGCCCATCCGCGCACTCGGACGGACATCTGAAAATCTCCGTCTCGAGAAGAGCCTGTCTGTCCAATTTGCGAGAAGGGCCAGACAGCAAGAGAGAGAGAAGAGAGAGTGAGAGAGCGAGCGAGAAAGGAGAGAAGAGAGAAGCGACCAAGTTGGACGAAAAGGGAAAGGAAAGCGCGACGACGACGACACAAAGGAAGAGAAAGAGGTGGGCGACGATCAGTCGAAGGATTCAACGCTACGGAAGCAAACGCCGAAACCAACGAGAGACACCGACGAAGAAAACCGGTGAGGAGAGCCAGCCAGTCAACCAACCAGCCAGAGAGAAGACAAGGACAAAAGAGGGATTAACGAGCGGTTAGTAGGGGTCTTTTCCCGCGGCGCTGGCACTCACCCCTCCATGACACATGCTTTTCTGGCCCCCAAACCCAACCACCCACCACCCTAAGCCCCCGAGCCCAAACACCGTCGGTCGCCCTGTCTGTTTGACGCAAGCAGCAGAGACGCTCAGCTGGTCTTTTCTTTCTTCTCCTTTACCCTTTTTTCTTAACCCGGTACGGTACGGTCTCCAACTTGCCCGCGCGCGAAGAAGGTGAGGGCAAAAAAAAAGAGGGGAAAAAGGAGGGACCACAGGCCACGGATATTTGGTTTCGTCCTTTCGTTCTCGGTTCCAACAGCTTGGGAAAAGCAAGAAAAGAAGAGTTGCAGGTCGAGAAACAATCAATAAGGTAGACCGCACGCCGAACAAGTCCGGTTTTATTTGTGCCAAGAGCGAGGAACCCTCCAAAGAGCGAAACCGAGGGATTCCTCACAGAGGGGGGGAAAAAAAAGTTATGGAGCAGAGCCCCGAAGCTCAGCAGTCACCGCCAGACGGACAAGCGGCCAACCGCGGGTCCGACGCACTTCCGAGGCCGCGTCCGTTGGCTTGCACTCCATGTCGGCGCCGCAAGGTATGTTGATGAGATCGTCCTCTTCCACCCCCTCCCCGTACCCATGGATCGCGTGGCCGCCTGCCCCGTCCGGCCCTGTGAATGGGTGAAGCTGAGGAGCCGGCCCATCAGGGGAGCGCGGCAATTCTCGCCGTGGTGGATTTGGGCCGGGCACGCACGCGAACCCGTGAACCATTACCGGGTAGCTGGGTCAAAGTGTCTAGGGTGGCCAAAGGCAGATTGATGGCAATGAGGGGAGAGGGCAGAAAACGGGGAACGGAGAATAACAGCTTGTCGAATGAACATCTTGGCTGACGGCGGACCGGTGATCCGGTACGGCATCTTACAGATTCGATGCGACCACAAGACGCCAATCTGTTCCAACTGCGTCAGGTATGGCTTGGAATGTACCTGGCCCGAAGGTCGACGCTCTTCAGGACGGCGTCAAAGACCGTGAGTTTGCTGGCCCCCCTCTCTTCACTTTACTCTGCCCCCTTCCCCTTATTCGTGACGATCCTTGGCCTTACCTTACCATCCCGCGCGGCCTGCCGCCCTTTAACCCAGCGCGGGCGGGGCCGTTACCGCCGATCGTATCGGACATGGAACTTTGCTAATATTATCATACCAAGGCTCTATGAGGATGTCGTCACAAGGCTGGCACAGATGGAGAAGCTGGTGGAGGAGCTCCAGACCACGAACCACCAGGGGTCGCCACAGTCCAACGAGCCGGCGGGAGCATCATCGTCCTCAGCTTCAGCGTCGGCACCAGTGCCGACGGCGCCAGCAGCAGCAACATCAAGCGTCTCACCTTTGACGACGCAGCCAACACCACCGGCGGCGGCGGTGGCGACGAACACGGCAAACACGTCCTCCGCAGGGGCGGCGTCGGCTTCGGTCTCGGCCTCCCACTCCCCCCTGTCGAGACGGAAGGCCAGCAGCGCAAGCCCGTCGTCCGGGAACCCTGACACGTACCCGTCGCCGCCGTCCGCCAGCTCGTCGACCGGGGCGAGGCCGTATTATGTGGGGGCGCCAAGTGAGCAGGTGGTCGCTGCTGCAGGTAAGAATACCTAACCCCCTTGGGAATTCCGCAGAGCAGTTGGACCTGTTGTCCTGGCTAGCTACCAAGGTCCAGAGTCTGTCTGCTCATCGAGAACCTGGACAATCATGACAATCAAGAGAAAGACGACGGCTAACGTGGCTGGCCTATCAGGTGCCTGCTCGCTGCTCTCACCGCAGGGCCTGGCGCAGATTGAGCTTCTCATCGGAGACTCACGGTTCAGCAACGCGCTCAATGGCCTGCACCCCAAATTTGATCGTCTCAGGCCGGAGCCGTGGCTGGAGCACGATGAGCTGAACCACCCGCTTCCTCCCAACCATGTTATCATGGACTGCGTGAACGGTACGAGAGGCCTCACGAGCTCTTCGTGAGCACGACACTGACAAGGTATATCACAGACTACATGGTGACGATGAACGCCGGCATCCGGCTCTTCCAAGAGCATGAAGTACGAGCAGCGTTACGCGCCTACTTTCAAGGCCAGCCCATCGCAGACCCGGGCTGGCGGATGGCCGTCAACTCCATCATCGCCCACACCCTCCGCAAGAGGAACCGCATGCGGAACAAGGAAGACTACGAGAAGTACATCCACAACGCCCTCGGCATGATCCCAAATGTAGTCCTCCGCACGCCATCGCCGCTCACAATAGGATCGTTATTGTCAATAGTAAGCCTCTTCCCGACCCCCTCGCCCTACCCCTTTTTCACCTGTGCTGACCGCACCAAGATCCTCTACTACAGCTTCATGTCCGACAACCACATCGCCCTGACACTACTCGGCCTCACGGTCCAGCTCCTCCTGATGTCCGGCTACCACCGCCCCGAGCCGGACCTCGCCTTCGCCGACGCGTCAAACCTCAACCCGGTGGAACACCTCCACCGCCGCCGCCTCTTCTGGCAGGCCTACATCCTCGACCACGACCTTATGCTGCGACTCGGCAAGCCGCCGCTCATCCACGACGATTTCCTGCTCGACCTGCCCGAGGAGCACCCCGCGGACGGCTACGCCATGTACTACTACCCCAACGACGTCACCCTCAACTTCTTCCTGCAGCAGGTCCGCCTCGCCCAGATCCAGGGACGCATCTCGGCGGCGCTGTACTCGCGCAGCAGCGTCCCGCCCGCGGAGCTCGAGTCCGAGATCCGCCGCCTCGACGCGGAGCTGCAGGAGTGGAGGGAGAGCATCCCCGAGATGATCCACCCGGAGCGCGTCGAGGCCCTCCTGGACGGCGACTTTGCCCGCATGGTGTGTCTGACGACGCTGCACTTTACATACTTCCAGCTCGTTGTGGCAATTCACTCGGCGGCCTTCCGCCTGCCGGCCCTCGAGGACCAAGAAGGCCTCGAACAAGGCGACATCGGGCCTTCGCTGGCCCTCTGCGTCAGCGCATCTCGAGCAGCCATCTCCCTGCTCAATTACCATCAGATCGAACACCCCTACACCCCGTGAGTCTCCCCTCTGCCATTCCGGCTTATCATAGCATCTTACTAACAAACCCCCCAAAGATACCTGCTCTACCAAGTCGCCTGGTCCGTTGACATCCTCTTCGTCAACATCCTCCAGAACAAGACATCCCCACGCGCGCGCCGCGACCTCGACCTCATCCGGACCGTCCTCACCTTTTTCGAAAAGTTCGACCCGGACCACGAGAAGGTCATCTCGTACCAGATCATCAGCGTCATCGCCGACGTCGCCGCCTCCGTTCTTGCAAACACCCCGACTCTGCCCCCGCACATGCTCCCTATCGCCCGGCCCCAGACCTCCGCCCTGCAGGCCCCGCCCGGGGCCCTCCGCGGCACGTCCCCCGGAACCGGCATGCAGCGCCAGTCCGTCGTCGCGGGGTTCCCGCCGGACACCCCGATGACGGGCACGACGGCGGCCTCCGTCCGCAGCGGCAGCATCAACGGCGGGGCGGACGGCATGCTGGGGCCCATGACGAGTCTATCCATGTCGGACCAGCAACAGCAACAGCCGGGCTTCGTCGACATGACAATGACGCCCCAGCCCGAGCCCCAGTTCTTCAATGGATTCATGGACATGGCGGACTGGCGGCTGCCGATGGAGTACCAGCCGGAGCTGTGGCAGTTTGACAGCGTTCTGGACAACAACCGCTACAACCAGAACTGAAGCTAGGCTAGGCGGGAGTGGATACCTTTGATTTTGATTACATTTGCCGGACGATTGGGCAGGCGGGTCAGCGATTCGGACCGGCCGCCGGGTGTGGCCCCCATTTTAATCGCCTTGAAAACGTAGGCTTGGCGTCATCCGACTCCACCGAGGCACCGACGGTCCCCCCTTCCGGTCGCGACGTCCAGACAAGTGTCGCGCCGGCTTTTCCACATTCGATACCGAGAGGCCCAATCTTTGTACAGGCTTCCACCTATTGTAGGATAAGTGGCACACGACACAGCGCGGGCGACTCATCGGGAGAGATAGAGGAGAGGACGTCGCTGGGCGAGGCACGCGACTCGAAACCCGAATCTCGCTCCCGGCGCCCCGGATTGGACATCGACCTTTCTCCACAACGGGATGAACGACGTAATCGCGCGTCTCTATACAGAAGGTCCCGCAGCGAACACGGTGCCGAATTCGGGGCACACGAACACGAGGAGTTTTCTGAGGTTTGGACGATGTCAATTGGGGATGGAGGGAGTACTCGGATAGACGGGGGGATTGGGGGCATATGGGAAGAGGAAAAATACTAACGGCATGCCGTTGTTTTGTGTCTCAACACACCTTCACACTCAAACGTACAGATACCATGTTAAATGCGACAGCAGGAGGAATTGAGCTCTTCTATTTTGCTTTTCCTGCGTTTTCCGAACCGCGCACGGCCTTGTGTCTGTCTCCCTTCTGGAGACTGTCTTGCTGAGTGAAACCTTTCCTGCCCTACGAAGATGAGAGTGATTCAAAACAGCAAGGACGAGCCAACACAACGGTTTCCACCTGTCCCCTTGGAGTCTCACATGTCAAATACATCTCGCTTCTCCACGGAAATAAGACCTTGTCGCGAAACGAAAAAAATGGGAAGGCACAACTCCCCCCCTGCTTTTCCCACAGCCCTGCTGCAAGGTACGCTACCTTACTGACGCGGAAACACCATCCGGGGGCGGCGCGGGCGGTGCTGCTAAACGAGAAAGAGAACCCATACCTGACTACCTCCTGCATGACGTCAGTGCACAAATACCCGGACTCTTCGGAGCAGCCATTTCGACCGTTCTTTCTATGCGACGACCTACCTTCGTTTCCAAATACAATGGCCGACGACGACCGAGCGAGAAACGAAAGGGGGTAAGAGACATGGGACGCTCGCCGTGGCGCCTTCTTGAGAATTGAAACCTAAACTCTTTTCTGCGATGGCAGCAAAACACTCCGGAATGTTTAGACCTCCTCCCTAGGGCGATTTGTTGTCTTATTTCTTTTATTCCCCTTGCGCTCGAAATTCCTAAAGCCATGCTGCGGTGAGAGAACATCTATATTCAGACAACCGCCCTCGCTTTTTTATCCTGAGGTTTTCGCGAGACACCGGGCACGCCCTCATCGACAACCAGCAGCTGAGCAGGCCATTGACAGGAGCAGCAACCTCAAACTGCCACCCATCACATCCGCCCCTCATCGCTATCGATATCGGCCACACAATGTCTGAAAAGACGCCCCCGCCAAAGGACGACAGACGACGCCGATCGGCAAAAAAGCACCCGCCAAAATCGCTCCGCGAACGCTTCCTCCACACGCTGCCCTACTACACAGGTCCCTACGGCGTGGGTTTCCTCGAGATCGAAGCCCCGGCCCGCCGCCCGCGCACCGTCTCCCAGCTCAGGCGCGACAACGTCCCGCTGCTGAGGCTCGACACCGTGCTCTTCGCCGTCTTCTACCCGTGCACCCTCAAGACCAAGGTCGAAGGCGGCGACCCGGTGTCCAGGCACGGCCGTAAGGCTAGCACGCCCACCGCCAACGGCAACAACAATAACAACAATACGGTCAAAGATGGTAGCGACGCGGAGAAGACGACCAAGAATCCGAAGCTTTCGCGCGTGGGATGGCTCCCGCGTCCGAGGCTGAACACCTGCAAGGGATATGCCAACTTCGCGAGCATCCCAGAACTGCCGGTGACGGCGTACATCGCTGCGACCACCATGTTCACGAAGCTTCCTGCGCTTAGGAACGCCAAGCTGGCGGAGAACTGGCCGGAGGAGATGCTGACGGACGAGGGGCCGGCAGGTGAGGCCGCGAGGAACGAGGAGTGCAATACATCAACAAAACCGAAGTTCCCCGTCATCATATTCAGTCACGGGCTGGGAGGATCGAGACTGTGCTACAGTGCCATCTGCGGAGAGCTGGCGAGCTACGGCTTCATCGTGGTCGCCATGGAACATCGGGACGGAAGCGGAGCCAGGACAATCGTCAACATCCCTGAGAATCGAGAGACCTCCGACAGCGACTCTTCGTCTGCGCAGGCCAACGTCAAGCACGTGCCCGCCAACAAGAATAGGAAGCGCAATAAGGGAACCAGTGACCACTACTGCGTGGACTACCTTTTCCCGAAGGACAACGCCCAGGACACCTCACCCAACAGTGCCAAGGGAGTCGATACGGTGCTGCGCAGTGCGCAGATCGAAATGCGAATGTCGGAAATAGAGGAAGCCTACTGGATACTCGAACAAATTAACGACGGTCGCGGTCACGAAGTCGAGGCCATGAATCTAAGGAAAGAGGGGAATGTGGCGTCCAGCTCCAAGGGTCTCACTGGGATCGACTGGGACGATTGGAAGGAGAGGATGTTTCTCGAGAACGTGACAGTGATGGGACATTCATTTGGTGGGGCAACGATAGTTGAGATGCTGCGGACGGAGTCGCTCAGCTGGGTAGGTCAAGGCATCATCCTCGACGCTTGGGGTCCCGCCACGCCTCGACCGGGAGAGAACGCTAGACATCGCGTAAAGAAGCCGCTTCTGTCGATCGGATCGGAGGCCTTTATGCATTGGCAGGATAACTTTGACAGACTTGTCGACATCTGCAACGAGGCGAGAGAACAGGAGGCACTCACCTGGATGATGACCATCAAAGGTTCGACCCATCTTTCCCAGACCGACTTTGCCATTCTGTACGCGACGTGGATGGACATCCTCATGAAGACGCTGGTAAATCCACGGAGAGGCATCTACCTCACCGTCTCGCCAGCCCTCGAGTTTCTGAAAATTACCTTGCCTTGCCAGCAGACAAAGTACAACATGTGGGTGGACATGGGAGTCCTCAAGACCGCGGAGGCACCGTCGTCTCCAGACGCCATGATGACGTGCGATCATCGCCCCAAGGACAAGTGGATCGCAGTAAAGCTCAAGGTCGACAACGAGGCGAGGCTGCGAGTTAAGCACTGGGTACGCCACAACAAGCACTCATTATTCCGCAAGGACAAAGGAACCGGTATGCCGTCGGGGCTGATCAACTGGGACGAGGGTAACGAGCTCTTCATGCACTTCAGTCCGGGACCTGAGTCTGTGGACAAGTACATGCGTGAGAAAGAGCGGGTGCCGGGTGGCGCCAATCCTCATTAGCCTGTTTGGCGAATTGATGTCCCGATTCGTAGATCTAGGAGTTGGCATCGGTCTTCTTAATCCTATGTATCTCCTAGAACCCTGAGATCTTTAGCGGCCCCCTCGTCTACCTCGACGTTCACTACTTGATGCAGAATGTAGCGGTATCTCTATCCTGCTTTTATTTACTATCGCAGGAAAGCTGTTTTCAGATTCCTCATGAGTGCCTCAGTACCTCTCCTTCTGGTGGCTTTGGATCATGCCAGTGAGGCCAGGGTCCTACTTGGCCGGGCCCCTGGGCGGGAACTAAAGGGAGCATGTCTCAGGGTTCTAGGAGAGGATTAGTGAATCAGCTTATGAGTTCGTTGTCCAGCGCCAAGTGCGCCGTATCCAAGGCATTGGTACGATTCTGCAGTAGTGAGTAGACGAAATCACAGCAATGCAGCAAGCAGTGTTTTGACGGCTTGGTCAACCTGAGAAGCCCAAGAGATAAACTCAATGCAGTCTCCAATCGCCCTATTTCCATGCAGTCAATCGGGAGATCGTGGAGAGATGGCGAGCCGTCAGTGTTGTTAGCCTGCCTGCACGCCTGCAACGTGATTTCAAATTCGGTCGTCACTGGCTAACGGCTCTACAAGCCATCAGCGTGGTCGGACGGGATTGCCAAAGCACCCAGCGGATCGGCCACGGCGCCAGAGAAGACTAACTGGAGTTTCCGCGAGGTTGTTTCGATGGGTTCTGCAAACAAGATGCTCGTGCGGGCAGCGCTTTGTCGTCAGAGTATGGTAGCTTCGGTTTGAGGTATGAGGCGATGCTCGGACGGGTAGCCGAAGAGGACTAGCTCCAGGAACGTCGCCTACAGCAAATTTCGATCGGATCGAACCAGGGGTGGCCCGGCAGGTGATTTTGTGGGGAGAACTGGTGGTCGCCGATGAACGAGTCTTTGGGAGACGCGAAAGCCAGAGACCATGTCGTTTGTCCGTTTTGCATGCCGAGTGGTTGGTTGGGACGGAGGGCAATTGGTTGGGCTATTTCTGTCTCTTCGGCTGGCTTGCAGCATCTTCGCCGCCACACGTCTTTCGGATGAAGGGTTTTTGTAGGCAATTGGCAGGCAGTAGCTGGGTAGCTGGCAAGTAGTACCTCCTGGCCTGCGCAATAAGGCGAGCTTGGGCCAAGCAGAGCAGGGAAGCCTACCCACGATTCCATGCAGGATGGTGGTGATGTTGGAGGTGTGGGAGGCGCCGTGAGTGGTTGGGATGCAAGTGTCAGTTGATGGGACGACGCAATACGAAGTGTGCTGTCAGGGACTAATGGTTTGCGTCCAGCTGCAGGATGGGCATTATGTGAGCTCTTGGGAGACGGGCAAACCCTAACCTTAATGGCAGCTGAAAGGTAGCTGGGAGCAGGTCAGCGTGGAAGAAGGTCGGACGGAGGAGGAATGGAGGATGCGGGAGAACAGAGGAGATGTCCGTGACGAAAGGCTATTGTGGGAGACGACAGCCCAGGATGGTATCCGTAGCACGGTGGGTGGATGGATGGGTGGGATGAAGTCTGACGGCGTGGAGGGCTTCGGCTTCGCAGCCATTCTGTCAGTCCACAGCTTCAACTTCAGGTGAAGCGAGGAAATAAGGTGAGAAGCCACGGTGGAAGCCGGTCCCTGCAACGGCCGGGAGGCGAGGAGGCCCTGTTTTGTCGCTGAGCCCATGTGGGGGAAACAGCGGGCGAGCGTGGCCATGGACCATGGTCGCTTCCTTTTTGCAGCAAGCAGGTGAAAAACACCCGTGGATTGACACACTGCTTAGGCAATCCTTGCTGCCGTCTCCGCCTTCCTCCCAGCTCAAAATAGCTTCCGTGTTAACCCAGTCCCTGTCCCGGTGCTGATCAGCCAGGAGAAACTGGCGGGCCCTCGCTAACAGCGGGGCACCCTCAGTGGCGCCTGCAGCGATCCCCGGTCCAGCTGGAGCGAGCCAACGCGCCAGAGGCTCGTATCAAGCATTAGACCTTTCGAAAATGTGATGTGTGCCCGTGGAAAACATCCTGAATCCCGCCTTCAGAGTCCACATGGCAGGCCAACATCAGCCGTTGGGTGATCTGGGCTTGTGGCAGCGACACATCCCCCTCTTTCACTCTTTCTCAACCAACCCTGGCGGAGCGTGTCTCGTTGTCGCCGTGGCTGCCGCCTTCGTCCATGACGGGACGCGCTTGTGTAACTCAACCCATCTACCAACAAATGAGTCGCATGCACGCCGCCGTTGGGTCTCCTTTGTATCAGGCAATATATCCACGATGACATGGCACGGAAAGGTACATTGTTCTTCTTCTCAACATTGCTTGGCTGCCCTAGCCTCCCGCTTCCTGCCAGTCCGGCTGAACCTGCACCCGCAACTGGACCTGCGTCTGCACCTGTGCTTGCTTCGCCTACTGCGCTTTCCGCACCTGCTGCAGCTTTTCCTGTACCCGGTCCTCATCTCAGACGGCAGTGAGGGCTGATCGTCATCCCAAGTTGCAATGCGCTGACCTCTGAGCACCCTCACTCTTGGGCCGAATGCCGGACGGGTCCTTCCATTGGACGACTGCGCGGTGCTTATGCTACTAGCTGCTGCTGATGCTAACCACCAACACATGCTGATGCCCTCCGCCTGGTCTCTTGCTGGACATGTTGAGTAGGCATCCATCTATCCATCCATACTTCCATCCAAGGTCTCCCCCACGGCGCCCGTGACCGTTGCCGATGCCCCCAGTCCGTGTCCCGCTCGATGGCCATGGCCCTCCCGGTTGTCGTGCAGACGAGACCTGACGAAATCTAACCATGGCATGACTGCAGTCGTGGTGAAGAAGCCTGCTTGACTTTGACCCGTCTCTTCCCAGGTTGGCCGGGTGCAGAGAGTGCTGTCCATCGTTTCCTGCCTCCGCCAATGCATGTCCCGTCTGTGGTGTTGGGTCTCTCCCGGTAAACAAGCTCTAGATTCTCCGTCGACCAGGGCTGCTTTCCCGATCTGCGGTTCCTTCTTTTGACTGCCTGCATCCCGCATTCGAGAACCACTTTTAGACTCCCGTCTTGCCGTTCTCTTTTTTTCCGGTCTTGCCTTATCCAAACCTGGACCCCCAGCTCCTGCTCTGCTCTTTGCTGCTGCTACTGCTGCTCCCTCCTGGTCCTGACCTGACCGGACCCAAATATCACCTTGCCGCTGGCCTTTCCTTCTTGTAACTCACCCTCGTTGGATATCTGCTTTTCGTTCCACGACAACGTTACTTCGGTGCACTCCTCGACCTGCCCTCCACCGATCCTCCTACGTATTAGCTCTTGCCGACTCTCGTTCGTCTCATCGCCTCGCTCATTCACCGTCTTTTCCGGGCGCACACCTCGCCTTCGCTGTTACCTTACAACACACATTCACCGTCGCGCGCCAGCTCTTGCTGCAACCTCCGACCATTCCGTCGAGCCGTTTTACCGTTTTTTTCTTTATTCTCGCTCGTCGATCTCGCCAATCTTTGCAACAAACAAGAACAAACGTCAACGAGGATTATGACAACATCGAGACGCCACAGCTAGCATCGCCTTAACCTCTTTTCTCACTCTGCGACCGCTAGTCGCGTATCCTTTCCGTCTTTGACGCCACGACTCCACCCTCAATATCCCCGTCTCCAAATACGCCTCGAAACGATTTGCTCCCGAAAATGACCTCCGCGGCCGCTCAACGCAAGCCGGGCAAGCCCCGACGCGACAGGTCTGACAGCCTTCAGAAGATGCTCGAACTCGAGCATATTCAAAAGGTGAGCCAAGCCCGTCCTAGCCCGCCAGCTTCAGCCTCGATGGCATCCACACCAATTTGACTAGTATAGCCTCCCCTCCACTAACACGCTTCACCTCGTAGCTCGAGCGTCTTCAGGGGCACCGTTCCATGCCCACGCCCGCTCACCTATCCCACATGGCGTTTCAGCAGGTTCTGAATCAACAACTTAATGGCCGTTCTCCCCAGTCTCCTCCAAAGCTGTCGCCTTTTCCAACCCTACACCCTCCCCCGCCAGTGAAGCCTCTTGTTCCTTTGCAGTCACGCCGCAGGGACACGCTCCCCGCCAAAGCACCTGAGCCTCTTCCTTCCGCCATGAAAGCTGTGCGCAGAACCACTGCGGCCCCTTCCCTTTCTATATCTGTGCCACCGCCGGCCAACAACATCCCTGAGATTGACCGCGGCTCAGAGGGAAGGGAATCCAACGAACATAAGCAGAAAACCGTGACCTTCTTGGGCGTCGATAACGAGGATAAGCCAGCCGAAGACGACGCTTCCTCGATCTGCCACTCGCCTAGCTGGGAAGCTTTCGGTCAGAAGAAGAAGAAGGAAAAGAAGAACGAAGACAAGATGCGCAGGAAAGAGAAGGAGCAAGCCGACAGGTTGGCCGAGAAGGAGGCCAAGTCTATCGCGAAGAGGCTAGGAGCCAAACTGCACAAGACCCCTCCCTCACAGAGACCTCCCAATGCCTCCCGGACGATGTCAAGCCCCATCATGCTTGCCGACGAGCAAATCAGACCAGCCAGCACTCAGGCTTTCTACTCAGCACCGCCGCCGCCGCGCCCGCAGCACGCCAGGCAAAGATCAGATTCAGTAGCTATGCAGTTGAAGGCAGCTTTGACCGGCCAGAAGCCGCTGTCTCAGGCCAACGACGAGCCAAGCTTCATCGGTGGGTTGAAATTGGATCAAGAGAGACAAGCCGCCGCCGGGATGTCTCTCAGGAAGCCAAATCCACCAGTCTCCCTGATGAATCAGAGAGCTCAGTCTTTCGGCCCCGAGGTGAGAGTGCAAGTTGCTGGCGGGTTCAACCCTCCAACACTCCCGAGATCTGCCTCGGATGGACCCATGTTTGAGGGGATGGACTACGATCGCAGTCTCCGACCCAAGCCACAGCAAAACTCAATGAAGGTCCCATCATGGAATCAGCCATTGGTGTCTCCCACGGCACCACCTGTACCGGATGTCAGCAAGCTTCAGCAGTGGAAGAACAGATCGACGCAACACAAGGTA